TCACAACCTCTCATGATCTCTCACGACCTATCACAACCTATCACGACCTCTCACAACCTCTCATGATCTCTCACGACCTATCACAACCTATCACAACCTATCCCGACCTCTCACAACCTCTCATGATCTCTAAAGACCTCTCACGACCTCTCACAACCTCTCACAACCTATCACGACCTCTCACAACCTCTCATGATCTCTCACGACCTATCACAACCTATCACAACCTATCACGACCTCTCACAACCTCTCATGATCTCTCACGACCTCTCACAACCTCTCACAATCTATCACGACCTCTCACAACCTCTCATGATCTCTCACGACCTCTCACAACCTCTCATGATCTCTCACGACCTCTCACGACCTATCACGACCTATCATGATCTCTCACGACCTCTCACGATATCTTTTGACATCATATGACGTCACACTTTCCATGCTACACGACACTACACTTCACGACACTACAAGATACTACACGCAACTACAAGATACTGCACGATACTACACGACACTACACGACACTACATGACACTACTGGACAATGCACGAAACTAGAATACCCGTATTTCCCTTGCTCAACACAATCCGACACTACGCTACACGATTATACACAGCATTATTTTACTAGAATATGTTATACTTGCTAGGTAACTTCCTACTGTTCTTATAATTGTCTTTCATTTTCCCGCCTTAGGACTACAAAAAGCTGCATCTTTTACGTGATCACTACCCTAATGTCCCAGTCATGGCATTAACCGCAACGGCAACGCCTCGTGTACAAAAAGATGTTTTGAATCAACTGCGTTTGCGCAACCCGGAAATGTGAGTTTGTTTTCCTAGAATTGCTTGACTTATCATATTACGATATGATATTATTAAGTAGGTGTGTATACACGAAAATAAACCCTTCAGCACCTAATAAAAACTTTATACAATCTAATGAATAAACAAAGGTGAAATCAAAAGCAAAATTTGAGTGAATTTTTAATTTAGCTGTTTTTCCAGGGGCTCGTGTTTTGACGTTAGTGTATTTAATCAGCCAGTAGGTTTTGCTTTCAGTTGTCTTTTAAAGCAATGAAGAGTTAAGGCCTTTTGTATATCAACAGAAGTGTTGTTCCACTTTTTTAGAGCCGAGCTATTTTAATTCTTTTTTCGCATGTTCTGTATTTAGTGTTGGGATCTGAAGATCTTGGCCACATGATTATATGTTATTAACCATGCGATATAGACTGGCAAAGTGAAGTCATCAAAAAGTCAATTTTTAGAATTATAGAATTCTGACACCATGTCCTGAAAAACACCACGAAACACCTATAAATTTGCAAAATCATTTGAATCTTTTGAAAACCGACTGAAATAGGGCCACATAAGCACGGGCTCTTTCCCCATCAAATTGGCTCTGGTTCTAAAATATATGAACCAGGCCCAAACAACTGCAAAACATAAGTAAAACTTAAAAATGAAAGTCAATTTCAAAAATTTCAAAACTTTTTCTATTCCCAAAAGAACAGTGCCTATGCTATGACAGCCCTTTAGGGGAATGTATTTTACTAAAAGCTGGATCCCTGTGGACCTTCTCGCATGAAAAGCGGTAAATCAAAAGAGTTAATACCAGCTCTTGACATATAGTCTGCTAGAAGATGATGCTTGAAACAATCTTCTAGAAACTGTTACACTAAAAGTCATGTAAACAAATCATAAGGTTTCGTTTTTGCGACCCGCTTCAAGCCTTTCTGGTTGCCTGACCAGAAACTTCCCCCACTGTCTTCCTTCCAAGTATAATGGCACAAACTGTGACTCCTTGAGTCGACATCTACGTCTAAAAATACGAACTTTTATCCTAACGACGCAAGTTTCCCTTTAATTATGCAAATATTTCAGCGTTGTCTTCTCTTTTAGTCCAGAGGAGTCTCATTATCCTTAGATCAATATTTCGAGTTCATTCTTCATACTTAGCTAACTTCCTTTTTGCAGCTGTAAAATAACACAGTCATTATATTTCTTAACCGTAGCAAAAGGTACTTTAATTTTTTGTTAGTGATTTTGTCAGAGTCAAGTGATGATATCAGAGTAAATTGAGAAGTGGAGAAAGCACACATCCTTGTCTTACTCCTAACTTAACGGCCCAAAGTCACTATTTTTACCGTAAACACATCCTTTGCATTTTTTGTTTGCCAGTATAAACGGTCTTTGAGATATTTCTGCTCTTGCATTCAATGCTGAGAATTTTCATATTTTTAATAATGATTTCATTTTTGAAGCTTCATAGTTAACAATGGTAATTTCTTATGTATATCGTTCCTAAGTGACTACGTCACAAAAATCTATTTTGAGGAAATTTGCTTTTGGATCCCATAGCCTGAAAGAGCATCAAAAAACCCTGCTAAACGTGCAGAATCAGTTGAACGAGTTACAAATGCCCCTAAGATGCTGTCAACCTCCTAAGACGCTGCCCCCCCCCCCCCCCAAATGCTAAGCCCCTTCTTTAGTAAATGATAACCGCAACTCTACTTTTTGCAGGCACGATAACTTTCATTTTTTCAATCGTTTTCTTTTAGCTATATCCAAAGTTTTAATCGCTCAAACTTGCAATACTCCGTGAGGCCTAAATCGAAGAAATCGCTCGAAGAAATCGTGAAAATGATCAAGAGTCAATATTGTAACAACTCTGGAATTGTTTACTGTTTGTCAAGGCAAGGATAAGCAACGCTATATAAATCTTTGTTTCCTTAAAGTTGTGTTTATTGAAGCTAATTTAGCGATGTCTTTCTTCAAGAAATTCCAAGAATCGGTGTGCTTCACAAAGACTGGCACAATGGGATAAATTTGTGGACCTTGTGTGCAATTCCCTCAGGCCTTGTTACTTTGATCCACCATGTGGATACACCCATCTCTTCTAAGTTTCCTTATACATTAAAAATATTCACCTTTGGTTGGAGTCTTTGAGGTTTCAAGGTCTTTGAAATTAATGTTGCAAAAAGGGGTGTTTATGTAATACAAAAATAGGCGTTATTAGGCCTTCTACTTGATCAATATTATCCAACCAATTCTTTTTGCTTAGGCCCATATTCTCAAAACTCATTCTTCGTACAAATAGAGTAATTATGTTGACAGTAAGATTCATTTGGTTGTTTTTCAAGAGAAGCTCATGAAATGCTCTTGTGCAACCGGCAATTGTCTCGAGAAATTGATTGCGTTTTGTATTTTCATACTAACCGGCCGTTATTAGGCCGGTTTTGAAGATTTATTCGCAAAGCATGCCGGTTGCACAAGAGCCTTTAAAAACGTTTTTGTTGTTTTTGTAGACGAGACTGCGACACGGTAGCCCAGTATCTGCAAAATAATCAAATCCGTGCGAAACCATACCACGCGGGGCTCGCTGATAAAGCGAGAACATCTGTCCATGAAAACTGGCTGCAAGATAAATTTAAGGTAAGATAAGGTATTTTCTGTCTGTGCTCATTCGCTTTGTGTGCTAAAAATATGTCAGTATCAGGCCTGGAATTTCTGTTTTCATCGTAAGACGCAGATACCTTTCAAACAGACGTCTGCCAATCGAATGATTAGTCGTTTGCAGAAGACAAAACGCTAAAGCCTGTGTTTTGTACCGTACTCTCTGGAATACAGTGAAGCCTCTATATGAAAGACACCTTGCGGTCCGTTATTGAGAGGTGTCCGTTGTATAGAGGTGTCTGTTGTATAGAGGTGTCCGGTTAATAGATTCTCAACTGTTAGTGCACACGTTTCAATATACTTACGGGTGAGAACAGAAGTACAATCATTTTTATAAGAACCAGTAAATTTAAGTTCAGACTGGCTGTTTTTAATTTTTCAGAAAATCTGAGGAACAAATTGTTCTTAATTTGTTCTTAATTTATAAGGGTGTAAGCTTTGCAGTTGCTAGCTATTTCGCTCTAGGGAGGTGTTCAGCCTCGTTTGCAAACAAAGTGGGTGATGCATCCTTTATTTGGCGACAATTTTGAAAATTTGCCGAAAAAGCAGCCTTAAATGGTAAAAAATTCTTCATTTTTTAGAAAAAACGTTGTTTAAAATTGCATTTTATGATAGCTCAATCCAACTTGTTTTTAATTTGTTCGTAAAATTTTACCTGTTTTGGGGCTCCTGTTCTTATAAAACTGTTCTTATAAAAGGTATGTAGATTTGGGCAAAGTGTGTAAAAAGTTCCTCACAGAAAGCTTGAATTAGCTTTTCGCTGTCACTGCACTCATGGCCCTCAGCTGATACAACCAAACCATTTTCCAGGGATCTGTGCCCGTTTCCATAGTCAAAACGTTTTTCTGACCTCCTTATTCATTTCCGTTTTGACTGGCGTTCTGTAAAAATTGTGTTCATCTATTGATACCTTTCGTAATAAGAGCACACACTCGAAAATGCCGGCACTCTAGAACTTAGCATTTTAAATAAGCCTACAGTTCATTTATTCGAGAAAATACAGCGTTTATCTGCTAAAGACAAACAGGGAATGAATAAGCTAGGTTTTTTGTCAACTTCTGTTGATGACCTTTTTGGGTGGGGACGCATTGCAAGATAACAGGATTGAAAAATAAGAAAACAGAGGAAGCTGACCCATTTTGAGCCTTGATCTTTAACTTGAATTCATAACCCTTTTATGATTTTTTGAGAGATCCACATAAACCTATGAAAAATCTCGATTCTCAAATCTACCCATAGAAAATCTACCTTATACTGCAGGGGAGAGAAGGAACACAACTTGTCCCAACAATCAGATAGTTGATATGGAGGGTCGAATATTGGAGGCAAAAACAAGCTTCACTTAAATGTATTGTACTTGCCCTATCTGGATGCACCATTTTGTGTGAGAGGGATGCCCCACTTTCACACACTATTTCTATCTGATAAGTACTGTAACAAGTGAACAAGTGCCCTTTATTGCTTTATGTGTCATCATTTTAAGGTCGTCTGCGCCACGATTGCTTTCGGAATGGGCATTGACAAACCAGATGTCAGATTTGTCATACATTATTCCCTGCCAAAATCAGTCGAAGGATATTTCCAAGAATCGGGACGAGCTGGTCGTGATGGGAGAAAGGCTGTCTGTGTTCTCTATTACGCATATTCAGACATGCACAGGATTCGCAGGTCAGATTTGGTTCCTTATTAAATTTTTGTATTCAATACACCGCTTCAATCAACCAGCTTATTTTTCATTTCTTTATTTAATATAATAATAATAATAATAATAATCAATTTATTTACAGTATGCGGGTATAATATAGCTGTTTATGTACAATTTGTGTACAAGCTAATTTAGGCCTACTTCACCAAAATTTAGAATAAAAAGCAATTAAGAATGAATAATTAATAATTACATATACAAAACAATTAGTTAATTAATGAAAGAAATGAAATTGAAGATTAAAAAAGATTAAATTTTACAATGCGTTTACAGTTAAAAGATGTTTTCAAATTTTCACACCAAGACGACTTTTTTTTATTTTCTATTTTTTTATTTAAAGTTGGTGTGTACCAAATAACTACAAAAGGCTAGTTAAAACCAACTAGCTTTAAATATAGCATAGAAAGATAAATTAATTAACAATATAAAAAGATGAAATGATTAATATACAATATCTTGGTTATGTGATGAATCCAGCGTTACTGGTATATTGCCTACACAGGTCATGGGTGCATTTGAATTCTGCGAAGATCTTTAATTTACGTTTGGATTTTCCCAACGATTTAAAATATTTGATTTCAATCGGGATATTGTTTAAAATTTCTCTTTATCTATACGAGACAAAATAAAATCCATTTTCTAATTTGGCTCCATGCTTTTAAATTTTGCATATATTAAGTTATACATTCTGTTCGAAAAAATATCTTCTCCGCGAAGGTTGGATTTTAGCCTTGTTTTGAAAGTCAAGTAAAATATTTTATGTTGCTCAACTCAAAGATTTTGACCAAAGATTATGCAACTACATTTCACCCAAGATACAAATTCATACCTTCCAAGATTTGTGATGTTGATTATGCAATGAAAACAAATTCGAGGGTTTTACTGTGGAAAATGGCCAGGGATGTGAAATTACAACCCATATGGTTTTTACGGACAAATCGGACCTCTTTTTTAAAATTTCAATCCTGCCTGTTTTTTAGATTCCTTTTATCCCTTATAAATTTTCTATTCCAACTAGTTTTGAAATTAATTAGAAGTGTTAAGATGGCTTGGTGCTTAGGGTCGCAGGCAAACAATCTTTTGGTGGTACAAAACTTGAAAATGGCTTTGAAAAAACCAAACATTTGAGTAAACTAAAGCTTTTCGTCTGACACTCTTCAGAGTTTAAACGTCGAAAACTCGACGCTAGTAAATATCAGAAACGCGAGCACATGACTGTTGAGGTTGACCAATCAGTGCCGCTTGCCTATTGAGAATATTACCAATGGAGTCCTAGGGTGAAAACAAACTCCTTTTGTCTACACAATAGAGGTTTTTTCGTGCTTATGTCGATAGATTCCAGAACTGCCAGATGGAACGACGATCGGGCTTTACCAATAATTCGAAACATGTCTCCGGTCGCAGGCAACAGATCCAATTTTCTCTGGTCGCTACATGTTCATACTCTCACTTAGAGTGAAGGGAGCTCACTGTAACTCCAGACATAGATATCCCAGAGTGGGTGTTTATGTTTACACGCAACAGATCCGATTGTCTGTGCTCCCCGGCATGACCATACTTTCACTTAGTGTTAGAAGAGTCGCCAGCTCTCTGTAATTCCATGCTTACAGATCTTTAAGGGATTGGGGGGGGGGGGGGGGGGCGGAAAGCACAAGGTTTTTCGTTGTTTCTTGCCATCTTGAAATTTTTTACAACGAAAGGCTTTTTTAATAAATGAACGAGAAAATCTCTTTCAAGGATGATTGAGGGTGAACGCGAGTCAACGTTCGAAACTCGCAAAGTCCACATGGACAATTTATTCAGAGTCGTTCAGTACTGCGAAAACATCACCGACTGCAGGCGAGCACAGCTACTTCACTACTTCGGCGAGACGACTTTCGACGCATCCGACTGTGCGGAAAAAGCGGATACGGTATGCGACAATTGTATAAGCGGAGATGCGTGTCATATGCGAGACTGTACTGAAGCGTCGAAGCGGATTGTCACCGGCGTCAATAAAGTTGTACATGAAGGAAGCTGGAACTTTAGACGGCCTCTTCGCAAGCCGCCGAATCGACTGACAATGAATCAGTTTATTGACGTTTTCATGGTACGTAATATAAACTCTTTTTCCAGTATCGTTTAGATTTCACTTTACTTTAAAAAGTTCAGCTTGAAGTTTACACAGCATAATTTCTTACAATGTGGACGAGCCCTTAACTCGTGGGGTAACAAAATTTTCTCTATGTAATAACGAAAATCACTATTTACCGGTCTGTTATAAAGTGTTTGATGCCATATAGACAGCTGTACGCGCTACTTCGTGTAATACATAGGACGGGATGGTTCTAAGCTGCTAACCCGAGTTTCACGCTTAATGCGATAATATTTAGCCATGTAATGTCTGCGTTATTAACATAGTGAAGAACAGTGGCGGACACCTGGGGGGTGAGGGGGCAAGGGGGCAAGGGGGCGAGGGGGTGGTCCCAATACTTAAGAGGACAATGGTCTTTCGTTCTAAAACAATAGGAAATGTGACATCATCTTATTAAAACAATAGGCCTGCCCCCCCCCAATATTTGACCAAGTCTCCACCCCTGGTGAAGAATTTGTAAAGAAGAAAAGTGAAGTATATTTGAATGTGCCAAGAACATTTGAAGAGTTTTCAAACATAATTTCTAATGACTTCCGAAAAAAATATGAGAGGCCAAGATGTTGTCCGTTGAAGGTTATTTGAAGGGCGTTGTCCCTCGAACCAACGATTTGTAGTAGGGCATTACATCATCATAAAATTCTTTCTTCAAGATCCTAAGCTGAGATCGCCTTCCCTCCTGCAACAGTCAGAAAAAATATATGATGAGTGAGATTTTTGAAACAAGAAATATACATTATGATTTGCGAACTAAAAATAATATTTGCATTCCAAAAGCCAGGACAACTTCTTATGGTATAGAAACTGTGAGATATTTAGGTCAAAAACTGTGGCAAACACTACCTCACAGTATAAGAGAGTCCCAATCATTGGCAACATTTAAAAAAGAATTAAGAGCACACCCTGTAGAATGCGGCTGTAGATTGTGTAAAATATTTATTGCTGGGTTAGGTTTTATTTAGAACATTATACCTTAAACATTTTTAACATTGTACCATATATTTATTTTATATTAATTCTTCATAGATAGTTGGCCTTAATTAGCTTCTTTATAGCTTTTAGACTTTCATCTAGTAAGCCAGCTATAAACAAATTATTTATTTCCATATTATAATTATATTATTCTTATATATATATATAATATATAATAAATATAAATATATATATATATATATAAATATATATATATAAATATATATATAGTATTAGTATTATCATAGAGTTGAAGAAAATAAGACACTCACGAGATCTCCTGAAGAGTGAGTTACTCACGAAACAGGCTTGTAGAGATAAACCATGTAGTCTTATTTTCTTCAACTCTATGATATATCACGCTCTACGTGCTAACGTATTGAGCACTGTGCTACGGAAGTATCAAAAGACAAATTTCTAGTATTAGTATTATATAAACGGTAACATTTATACTAGTCAATAATTCCTCACGTGTTTTTTACATATAATTTCTGTGTTCTCTTAGCACTCAGTAGGATCTTCAATTCTGACAGGATCTTCCTTTATTTTCTTCTTGGCATCTCACAATTTTCCCCACCCATTTTGTTTCAAGGGAAGCGAAAAGAGCAAGCTCAAAGATGGTTGTACCCTGTTCAACGCTGCTAATTCAGAGGAGCCAAAATTCAGCCGAAACGATGCAGAACGGCTTTTCAGAAACCTGGCATTACGAAATGTTCTCGAAGAAGAACTTGTTATCGGGCAGCATGACAATGTTATTTGTTATCTAAAACTTGGCGCGAAGGCAACCGATATAAAAGACGGCAGAATGCAGGTAGGCCTAGGTGATAAACAAAATTGGAAGATAAAACACTTGTTAACGGGCTATGCTCGAAACGTCGTTAATTAATAATCTTTCATTTATTCCTATTACAATTTTTACTTAAATTCCTAGTTATTTTCTATTATATTGTACAGCATGCAAGCTAGTATGTTTATGAAAACTTGAAGAGGCCTGAGAAAATGACTGCCATTCAATCTACTTTGTTACTGAGACTCGTATCCTCTCAGTTGTTGAAAGGAAAGATTTTCTTTATGGGGTAGGCCTATATTCATGAAATGTGCTTAGATTTCCGATTATTTTTCGCCAGCCTTTGAAACAAATATACACTACATTGCTACGTCATTGTAAGAACAGGGCGTGGTTTGGGTGTGGTTTGGGCGTGGTTTTGTCGAAGCACCTCTTATAGGTGCGAGGATGGCTCAGTTGTTAGAGGCGCTGACTACAGACCCAAGGGTCCATGGTTCGAGTCCCTGGCATGACCAAACCTTCACCCAGAGTGGGGAGAGTCGCCAGCTCTCTGTAATTCTAGGCATAGGAATCACGAGGTGTGGTCACATTGAGAGGAAGGACCAGGACACTGCTCGATAAGCATAGCTTCTCAGTGTCCTAAAAATTACCTTCGGATGCTAGATAGCAACAAATACAAATACAAATAGTTTAGGTGTGGTTGCTCTTAACAACCTTCCTAGCGATTGCAGGCCGTTGGGTCTCCTCTCTTTATGGAAAACGTCTCTCACCAGCTTAATAAACATGGAAAACATGAAACAATTTCATGTTGAAATTATTAGAAAAATTAAAAGACAAACTTTGTGGAAAGTTTAGCAACTTTTTACGTGTCTTTGCAGGTCAACCTTCCGATGAATAGCAGGCGAAAATCCTTTTCTGGGAAATCCAAGAAAGGTAAGATAGGGTTCGATGACGAAGCAGACGAGTTGCTCGCACTACGACAAGAGTGTCTCATGAAGTTAGAAGACTCGCGAAAAGAAATTGCACAATCGAATTTTGTCACCAATCCAGAATATATATTGACCTCTTTAACTCTGGAGCAGTTGTCAGAGAAAATGCCTACTTGTCAAGATGATATGCTTAATATCGATGGTGTAACCGAAGACAAGTACGCACAGTTTGGAGCAGAATTTCTTGCTGTAAGTCTAGCATTTTTGCAGTCTAGCATTTTACTTTCCTTTGACTGTCTACCGAAAACCAACTTTTAGCAAAACTACATGCCTATGGTATAGATAGAAATTCTCTTTTACTCATACAAAGCTATCTGCCTAATAGAAAACAAAGAGTCAAAGTGAAAGATCATTACAGCTCCTTGGGTAAACTCGGGCAAAGAGTGCCACAGGGATCAATACCTGGACCTCTACTTTTCAATATTTTTACAGCCTTAGTGAAGGGTCTTTATATAATTTTGCTGATGACAACACGATATTCGTTACTGCAACAAATACTGATGAACTATTGTAACTTGTAAAAGTTAACACTAAAAAATGCCTTGATTGGTTCAAATCAAATGAAATGATTGCAAATCCCTCTAAATTTCAAGCTATCACAATCGGCAGTAAAGATAAATGCATAAATGAGTTTGAAAATGACAAAGAATTTGTAATTAAAATAGAAAACGTTACTTTGCTTTGTGTTCAAATGGATGAAAATTTTAAAGTTTGATGCTCATATCGATAAGATCTGTAAAAAAGCAGCTAAACAATTAAATTCTTTAAAAAGATTGGCAAGATATATGGACAACAAAGAAAAAAAGATAATTATGAATTCATAATAATTCATAATTAGTGTCCGTTGGTATGGATGCTATGTGGTAAAGAAAGTCAGGATAAGCTAGTGAAAATTAACGAGAGGGCTTTAAGACTAGACTATTCAGAACTATTCATCTTCGTACAAAGGTTTCCTTGCTAACTCAAAAGAAACTACCATACATGTCCAATCAGTTAGAATTTTAGCACTTGAAGTTTATAAAACACTTAACAACCTTAATCCTGTTTTCATGAAAGAATATTTTGTACCCAAAACAACAGGTCATAACCTTCGACTCAAAAACCCCCTTGACATTAAAAAAGCCAGAGCTACCAATAATGGTATCAGATCATTAAGTTTTCAAGGGCCTAAAATCTGGAATTCACTCGTGACGTCATTTTTATAGTCAGTGTACTAGGGAAACGCCCAGGGGCCTAAAGCGAAGCCCTAACAATAAGGGGAAGGGAAAAGGGATTTAGGGATTTGGAAGAGAGTGATGTGAGATTAAGCTTGTTAATTTTAGTTTGGAATAATAACAGATTATAATCGTTTAGGAAGCAGGAAGAGTGTAGAGCGTTGATGATTTGTGAGACAGAGTTTATGAATTTGGCAAAAAGGCTTCGAAAGGGGAGCATTTGAAGAGTGTCTGATATTACATACATGTCTCAGGGGACCCGTGATCATGTCTCTGATCTCTGGGGAGCAATGTCCATAGTAGAATCTGTCAAATGTCATAGGGACGAAATTGCAGTTTGTGGCCGTTCTCAAGCTTTCGAACTAAAGGGAAGTTCAAATCATAAAAAATCGACCTAAACAGGAGCAATTGTAAAGAGAATAATCGGATCGATGACCCGAAGAAGATGAAATTTTTTTTCTCAAAGTCAGCTATTCTCTAGTTAAGCTAGAGATTCCATTTTTTCAGTTTGGAAAGTTCTGGTTTTCTGGCAACTTTGTGCCTTGAGCAAACGATCAACTACATCTCAGGGTTTAGCTTCTAAAATTACTTCCTGATAATGTTTTATATCTCAAAAACATATTATTTATACAACATATGTATTGATCTTCCCTCAGAGATGAATTTTTCCTTGTATAAGACTAATAAGAAAGTGACAACTTTCAATTCTTATAGAGAACACTATTTCTTTGTTATGCTTTTCTAGACCCAACCCGGTCTACATATTTAATTTTCTTTATCAGATAACGAAATCATATGCTGAAAAAGCAAGTGAATTCAAAAGCAAATCGAAACCTCTGATGACTGGCCTAGATGAAATTTCATCTCCTTACTTTGACAACGGTACAAGCTCCGCTGCCAACAATACCGGAAAATCTTTCAAGAAATGGAAAGGAAGGAAAAAATCGTGAGTTTTTCCATGTTTTTTGACATTTGTTTGCTTTTTTCATCGTGTTTTGTGGTAAATTAATTGGCCGAAACAGTTTACACCTCCCTACCCATTAAAAACAGCAATATCCTGCATAGCCCTGAAGCGATGGTTAATTCCTTGGTACACTCAGCGTCGTGTCACTTGATGCACGTTGTGATACGCACGTTGCGTAGCTTTGTAAGCATTGCGTCTTTTTCTAATCAATACGTCATTCCGTGAGCATTGTATCGCTTTGTAAGCATTGCGTCGTTTTGTAATCATTACGTCGTTTTGTAATCATTACGTCATTCTGGCAGCATTGCATCGCTTTGTAAGAATTGCGTCGCGTTGTAATCACTGCTTCGCCTTGAAATAATTGCATCACTTTCTAAACACTAATAAAAATAATAATAATAAAACCATATTTATACAGGTAAACTTGTTCAGCAAAAATGAGTTTGCTGCTATCAGTCAAGGACCTGTCTGCATCCTTCAATAAGCATTGCGTCTTTTTGTAATAAATGCGTCCTTCCGTAAGCATTGCGTCGTGTTGAAATCACTGCGTCGCGTTGAAATCACTGCGTCGCGTTGTAATCACTGCGTTGCGTTGTAATCTTTGTGTCGCGTTGTAATCACTGCGTCGTGTTGAAAACATTGCATCACTTTCTAAACACTGCATCCTTCAATAAGCATTGCGTCTTTTTGTAATAAATGCGTCCTTCCGTAAGCATTGCGTCGCGTTGTAACCACTGCGTCGCGTTGTAACTCAGCGTCGCTTAATACGCAGCTATCTATCAACAGGGGCTGAGGTATGGTTAGCCACAAAAATACTGGCTTTATTTCTTATTCATATCACTTTGATTTGGTCTTGGTTCGAACATCCTTGTCCCGAATGGAAATAACGGCAGTCCGTTAGCAGGCTCTAGTTTTTTAATGGCCATATATCAGCCGAATTACTACAGATTTGACTCACTTTCTAAAATTTCAAAGGTACTTAAAGGTATTTAATTATCACTTTTTTGGACTAGTTGGCTCGTGGGCAAGAATTCTGAAAGGAAGGCATTGCTATAAACTCTTTTCCTCTTGAAGGTACAAGAACGGCGGCAGGGGCAAAAAACGCAAAGCAACGAACTATGGTAACAGTAACTATGGTAACAGTAACTATGGTAACAGTAACTATGGTAACAGTAACTATGGTAGCAATAACTATGGTAGCAATAACTATGGTAGCAATAACTATGGTAGCAATAATGGCGGATGGAAGACAACAGTTCCAAAGCAAGGTGGTCCGGGGTTTCTTGGAGTACCCAAGCCAAAGAGAGCCAGGACTGATTACAGCTGAGTTTAAATTTCTAAAATTTTAATACATTCAATATTCAAGGAATCCACACCAGAATGAAAGTTGCGTCCAACAAAAATATTTCCAAGAAAATTGCAACAATGCTCAGACCTCGTCAAGAAAATACCAAGCTTGATTTTATGTTATTTGTTTACTTGTGTCTTTAATATTGTTAATGTAAATATGCATTTTAATAATTCATTTATTGTATATTATTTCTATTATATTTGACTGAAAACTCAAGCTTGAATATTTCCTTTTTGCTTTTCTATGCGTTTTAGTGTTTTGCAGATAAAGTCATAAAAATGAAATGCACTTTATGGTAGATATTTGATCGTGGAAGAATTTGCTTTGTACTTAAAAGATATTAGCGTAAAATAATCTTAATGAAAGACTATGATTAAGACAAAAACATTAATTGCAAAGCAAATATATGTTTGTATAAACTTTACACGAATCGCTTGCCCTAAATTGCCTGCAAATTAGTTGAGACTCAAGTCTTGCTGGAACAAAGGCCGTTGAATTGTATCTTTGGCTGTACAAAATATTTCCTAAATGTTTCTAGGAATTTTAGTCTACGAAAGACAAACGCCAGTCTGTCACATGAACACAAAGATACTTCCCTGTTATAAATACGATATATAATATTTGTCATACATTATTAGCAAACTTCTATCTTAGTTCAGACTTTCTTCTTCTCACTCCCGCGGTCATTCTGCGGTGAAGGTGCGAGTCGTTCCGTTTCAGTTTGTCCAATCTCGCAGAAGCCACATGTCGCGGGACAATATTTCTTCATGAGAGATCCACTCAGGTCACACATGCCAAATTTCTTCCATTTTGGACAGAACTCTTTCTGATGTTCGTCGTCCTTGCAAGCGGCTTTGGGTGCTGTTTAGAGCAGCAAAGAGAGGTTAGCGAAAATTTCTTGAATAACAACTGATGACTTAAAGGCTCCAGGCTTTAAACAAAAGATTTGCGTGATTGGGTTTAGCTTAAACAATGTGTTTTATGAGAAGCAAAAACAGTGGGTTAAACAGTTTCCATATAATAAGTGCTTTTGGCAGACATAGACGTAAGTGGCACTTTAAAAGTGGGGAGGGAGACATGAAGGCAGAAAGGGGAACCTCTGTGGGCTGCAAAATATACTCGCTATCGCTATTTCTAAAACGTGGGAGCACATGTCTCTTTTTCGCCCCCTATGGTTCAAGATTCAATTTAATTTGATAACTACTTAAATTTTACAACTGAACTCAAACATGGTTAAAATGAAGTACTAGATTTTGCTAATACAGTATGTAATCGTAGATATTATAAATCATAATGAATTGTACCAATGCTTTTAAAGTGGAACACTTTAAGTAGGTTTACTGACTAAAAGAGAGCCGATTTTGTCTGTATTTTGGGAATGATATACATAATTTTGGCTCAAATATTTTGCTAGAATTATCCTGGACAGTTGTCCGATGATCGCATTGAGCGTGAAACTCGAAGTAGCAACCGTCCTTTTCTGTACACCAAGTAGCGAAGTAAATGTGTCTATGAAGGCAAAGTAATATCGTTTATTGTGGTTGAAGTTTCCTTTGGGTAGTTATTTACAACTGCAGCCCCAACAGTCCTTTTCATTAAATTTTGCTATCTCTGGGTAGATCTTGGGACCCTTCTCGATGATCTAAACGTCAATCGGAAACACAAAAGCGATTGCAGGACGGGATAGGACTTACCTTTGCATATCTGACACGTGAGTCTGCAGTTACTGTACATCCACTGACCAGCCCATCCAACATCATTGCAGTCATTTGAGTATTTCTGGCACAGCTCAGGGTGCTTGTCCTTGCATTCTGAAACATAAAAAAAAGGTTGATTGCTGCCTAAAGTGTAACTTTGCCAGGAGAGTAACTTTGCCAGAAGAGAAAATTTAATCTGTCATCTTTTTCAGAAATAGATGCAACGCAGCAATAGAGTTCTTAAGTGATGACGTCACTATGGTCTATTTTTAGAATTTTTTATTTCGATCCCATAACTTGAAAAGGCATCACGGAATACCTCTAATTGCCCAAAATTGGTTAAATATATTGTGAATTGACTGAGATATGGCCACATGAACAAATGCCCCTTCCCCATCAAACTGCGGTAATTTGTTCTCTGTTCATAACTTTATGAACCGAGCCAAAATAATTTAATCTATTAGCAAACTTTAAATCTTTGATTGGTCATATCTCACCTGACCTTTTGGCATTTTTAACTGGTTTTGCATATTGAGAAATATTTAATGATGATCTTTCAGATCGTAGAATTGTAAAAGTAGATTTTTATCACACTCAAGAACTCTATGCCCAAGTTTATAAGTTGATAGAACATGGATTAAGATAACTTATCGAGACGTTCCTCTCCCCTTCTGTGTTGGTCATTCATTTTTTCTTGGTGAATTGCCTTCCAATTATGTTGTCGTCGAAAATTCGAATAAGCGCCCGTTTCTGAAGGTTGAAGGATGGGCGCTTATTCGAGGGGTGGGCGCTTATTCGAAGGGTTGGCGCTTATTCGAGGTGGCGCTTATTCAATAATTTCACCTCTAGAATGGGCGCTTATTCGAGGGGGCGCTTATTTGAGGGGGGCGCTTGTTCGAGGCATTACTGTAGTTAATCCCAGCCAAATTTTCACAGGAGAATATTCTTGGTGTTTTTACGAAGATTGTAGCCTGGCATTTTTAAACTTTTAAAGGGAAGCCGTTTCAAGGATGAAAACTAGCTTTTCAATCACCAGAAAGTTCAATTTTTAGATTTAACTGCATTTTTGCAGAAGGATGAGAGAAAACCTCGTATAACTGTTTAAATTTGGTTTGGATGCTCCAGGAATTTTGGAAGAGATCATATGTACCTGGGCAATTGCTTCCTTTTTCGTCCGTCTTTGGAGTGACTCCATCCGGACAGCATTTGTACTTCGTTTTCGAGCAACCGAATTTCGGTCCTAAAATATAAATTCCGAATGAGATGTATGTAAGCATGATATTATGGATATAATGCGATTCAATATGATTTAATTAATGTATATGTTATTTAATGTAAATAAATTTATTGTTATATGATACGATATGATGTCATAATATGATGAAATAAAATATAAATTGAAGTCTCCAGTAGGTTATTCCTGCTTAATTTGACCTGTATTGTTGCTAAGTATTGCCTCAAACGAAATAACATGCCTTCCAAATAGCAAACTCACCACAAAGCCCGCACGTTTTTCTGCACAGTTTTTCCATCTGATTTTCCTTAGCAAATTTGCAAAATCCCCATTTTTCTTGCAATTTTTTGCATTCTTTGGTGTCGTACAGATCAAAGCAATTTGCTAGGAACAAAAGTGAATTATTCCAGATTAAAGTCTTGCAATAAACATAAAAAGTTTGATGCAAGACTAAATATTTAAGTAGCTTTAAAACTTTAAAAGTTTTGAAAAACCGCATATATTCAGATACCCAGTTGCAGTAACAATTTTGGTAGAGGGGATTTTTTTGCCGAGATTTTCCAATAATTGGTGCTTCAGAGGTGTCTACCCGTTACCCCTTTCCACTGCATCCCTGGATTGGTCTCAAAGATAGCGACTGTATGTTTGATAGCAAACAAATTTGTTGCAAGCCAGCCCTGTACAACCGTATAGAAGAGTGGATATTGTCTATTGAGCTGGAACTCGTGATATTTTTCATCGCCAAAATATACATGGATTTCTTACCTTCCGTTCGTCAGATACACTCATTTTTTTTATAAGAAACAAAGGTCGATGTTGAGTACTCCAGTTTTTTAATGTTCTGGAAATTTCAATACTCATTGTTTCTTAAGAGTTTCTTAATTATGATGTCATGAAATGATGCTATGAAATGTTCGTGACATTTTTTCACGTCAAGAGATTCGCTTCCGTTCTGATGCGTTATTTCGATGTGGTAAGTAAATTTTTATTCCTTGTATCTTAAGTTCTAGGCCAACAGAGCAATCTTGTTCTTGGATTTTACAAAATTTCGTTGTTCTCAGTTTTATCACGATTTAATAGTTTCTTAATTCTTTTGCTTCGAGTACTGAAATTTCTTAATTTCTCCTGACTGTCCAGTACTCGTTTCTTATAGCCAGTTTCTTATAAAAAAATGAGTGTAACACTGCCCACCCCGCCCCAACCTCAGGATTACAACAGCCTTAAAACCTTCTGTATGTTTCCATGTCGGATTTGAATGTGTACATGATTTGTAAGTGCAATAATTGACAGTGTTTTTACTTGGCTTGTTATAATTATAACTACGTACAAGGGCAACTCACTCTAGCAAATAGCATACGAAATTTCCACCAAACAACATTATTTTTAGGATTATACCGATAAAACAATAAACAACACGATTCCTGCCAAAGGTAAAAAAGATTTTCATAAAAAGTGATCTGCCTGCTCCTATTTTACTTTAAGGTACAAAATGGTCCTATATCTTTAACCAATTCGAATTTCATTCCTGAAGTTTATGGCATTCCATTCCATATCTTATATTTGTTACCTATAATCTTTAATCGCGTTTCTTACCTTGCCAAAAAGGTGACTGCCTCGATTCTTGTCTGGTTTCCCCCGTCAGCTGCAGGCCTACAAAGTGCAATTCAAAATCACTAAATTTGGGAAAAGCCTTTCTTGGATTTTCAACCGTAGAACATATTTTTAGTAAGAAACTGGCTTATAGTCACTTACTTGGGATTTCAGTTCAGCTGTTAGCGAAGGAACAGCTCGCTTAACTTCCTTTTCGGGAGATTTTATTGTTCATTGTAAACTTTGTCGATTTCATCATGCAAAGCGCTTAATGTCCTGATATTACTAAAGTTATGAATTTACTCTTTAGGTGGCCTAAAATTTAAATCAACTTTTAAGCAACATTAACGCAACTTCTGAGAAACTTTTAAGCAATGCTTAAATCACAGCAATTTTAGGCAAAGTCAAGGAATAATTTCCTTGATTACATTGCGTATTAAAAGATTGTTTATAAACCAATTTTGCAAATTATCATAATGGTGTTTGGTAATTTCCCTCGGATATTTCCTGCTTTCTACTAAGGAGCTATGACGTGTTAATTTGCCAAAAAACAAATTTTTCAAACTGGAAAACAGGATGCAGATTATTAAACTAAAATTAAGCCCAATTTCTTTTCTGACGTGATAGGTCACAATTAACGTCATCCGAATACGTCCGCAGCAACGGAATTCTTGGGATTTTTTATATCTGACTGTAAAAATTGACATTTTTACTTGAAATATCAAAAAGTTCTAGCAATTATATATTTAACAAGACTTAACGATTGGTCCAATACTAGAAACGTGGGCAAACTAAAAAATCATATGCTATGTGATTGTTAACTAGAGAAAACCAACCGAGCAAACTGCATCATTTAAAAGAAACCAGGAAATTTTCGCAGTGGCTTGATAATATTGTTTTTTGGATAAGTTCTGTTACTCTTTAAATTGTTCTTATCTCAACATTGACTTTTCTACACCTACGAACTATACATTTCTTCTACTTCCCAAAACAAATTGTCTTTTCTTCAATTCTTTATCTAAGGCTAGACAAGGACCTACAAGTTTTTAGGATGTGTTTGTTTGAATCTCATAAATTTTGCTTCACATCAGTGCCATTGGAGCCAAATTCATATAGAGGGAGAGGAGGAAGGGGGGGGGGGGGCGCTCATTGTATTGCTTCCCATTCAGTACACTATTATACAGAGAATATAGAACAGTTCGACAATTATTGGGGGGAGTTCCACTCAAGCACAAGCCCCCCTCTTTCGGCAGCCTTGCTTACATGCCTTGGTTTTAAAGAAACAATCTGGACAAGTGCATATTTTGCAGATACAAAATATCTACCTTCAATGTTTATTTATAATAACGAAAAAAATACAAAAATATAAACTACATAAACAAACAAACGTATGAATATATCTCACTATTTGTCTTTTGCATCTGTTTGTCAGGCAAATCCAGTGCCATTGATGTTGCAGCGAATAAGATCAAACTTAAAATCCTCTTCATGGTTGGCCTCTTAGAACTAAAATAAAATGGTTTGGCTATCATGGTGGCCGTCCGGCAGTTTCTATCTCGTTAATGATACGACTGAAACCGAGAGACATATCACTTCTAGAAAATTTGGAAAAATCTGAAAAATGCTTCGCTTCTGGAAAAATCCTTTTATTTTCCAGAAAGATCCCAAAAATCTCTAAAAATCCTTTTCTCTATAAAGGTCTCTTACGCTGTTTGGACTCAGCGACACATTCTTCGATTTAAAAGATTTAGGATCGATTAGTGGAATTTCCTTCTTACATCTATATTTACCAGGCCACAGAATGGGGAACCAAGTCTGTGATTCAAATTACCCAGCTTTCTGCGTTCTTGGCAGGTTATTCCATGAGAAAAGGAAATTTCCTATTGAATTCTTTATCAGTTCGTTGATTTGCTAATTCTGTGAATAATCGTCAAGCTATGCCGATAAATATTTTTCAATGGCTGTGATATGTAGAACAGTACATTAAGTCCTCGACTAGACCCCCACCATTGAATAATCCCCCATAATCCCCCACATCAGAATAACTTTCGGAAGCTGAGACCACCCTCTCGAATAAACACCCTTCTTGAGGAGCCCACCCTTTCACAAGATAACTAAATTGCAAAAGATAAGGTTTTACAAATGATATAGGTAATTAATTTCCTATTGAATAGTCTTGACATTTTCCAAAATTGACAGTCAGGACAAGATGACCCCCTCTTATAAATGCCCCATTGAAAAAGCCCCAATAAAGTTGTAAATATGTGAAAACAGGACGATCGTATTTGCTAAATTTCAAATTATTGAAAACAGTAAAAACTATATTGGTGGGGCAGTGTATTGGTAAAACGTAGTAGTTTCTGTAATACAAAAAGGGTAGGGTATTGTCTTAGGAATTACCCCCTGGGCACACATTACCCTCTCATTTTTTCTGCCATGATGTACATTAGTAAACCTAATCCCTGATGCACCTTCTAGTGTCGACTCATAATTAATTAATTTAATATATATAATTATATAATAAACCGAGCTTTATTCAAAGACAATGCATTTGTAGCTTTTTAAAATGCTAGAAGTTCGAAATTTGCTTATAATATAATCTAGAACTGTCATTATATTCGATGAAGCCTAAATTCAAATTAAAACTTGGACTTGGGAGAACTTAGAAAACGTTGGACGAAATCTGGACCTTAACTGTGACGAAATTGGCGTTAGATGCAGCAACCTTTTCTTTTAAATACAAAGTCTTATGAAATGTTATAAATTGTGTTCTAACTTTTCTTTAAAATAGTTAAAATACTTTGAATAAAAAACTTGTAACATGCTACAGATAAAGTGAAGATCATGTTACCAGGTTTTCTCTGTAAATTCAGCCTATATTTCGCCGCTTTATCGTCTTGCTAGCAGCACCTTCTTCACGACCGTTGACGTTTCAATGTTTGTCGTATGCCCCGTTGCCCTTATGCATCACCACTGCGTCTGTATTTAAGGCATCTCCCTTCAGAAATTGCCAAACAAAGAATGCATGCTGCTTGGCAACTAGATATCAGCCTGGCGCTTCAATAGAAAATCTTTCAAACCACAGGGTTGCGCCCAGCCCTTTGACTCCGTTTCAATAAAAACACATTTATATCATATGCAGTACCGTGTTTCTTTATCTCCTACACACATTGGTATCCAACAACAAATTTTACAGATTTATTGCTCAGTTTGAAAGTGATAAGCAATATGCGAATTCCAGATATTGAGGCGTCTTAACACCCAGCGATAATATACTACATATACAGGTCATGGCCAGGACTATGACCTAATAGCGATTATCTCTGTTCGTCTCGTTTATCGTATCATTTTCATGAAAATATGCCTTGGAAAGTATTCTCTGTTTGTCGAGACATTTGATTTTATCGTGGAAATTTAGCTATATTGCTGTTTCCTCGAATCTTATCGAAGATTTCAGGGTCTCTCTCGCTTTATTGGTGCCAAACAAACTTTTGAAATACTTGATATTCAGATGAAACGCACAACTTACATGTAGGTCCTATGTACGATTCCTTGTCTTATCTCATCGGATTTTTGCCACCCGATAAAGATCTTTATTAAATCTATTTTTTCTGGACCAGTTTTTGGTGTAGATTTCGAATCTGGATGTTTATCGGGAGGAAGAGGACTTTTTTCATAGATACAGGGGGTTTTGTCCAAAAACTAGGATGCAGCCTGTGAATGAGCTAACGATGGCCACCCAATGAGGAACTTTACCACAGCAACTTTTCTATACCAGTTTTTGGCGTGGAATTCAAAACTTAATGTTGATAGGGTGGGAGAGGAGGCCTTTCATGATTTGGGGGCTTTGTCTAAAAATTATGATAAATACTCTTCATATCCTATGAATAGATCAAGTTGGATTTCTTATGCATGTTTAGCATAATTATCATCTTCAGTGGACCTAGAGTAGCACTGCTTTCAGCCCTGGGGCAGTTGAGTTAAGGGGGAGGTATGAAATGTACGGTCATTTGATTTGGAAAAGAAATTAGATAATCCAGCTTGATCTGTGATTTGTCTTACAGCGTTTTAAGCTGAAGCCATAACAAACTTACTTTAGCTTCTATTGTACAGATAATAAATTCAAAGTCATAAGCTTCCGTGAGCTTGCCGAGCTTCACGGCTCCAGCACGGCACGGTTTCAAGCGTCGAACTTGTCATGTACCGAACTCAATGCATAATTATATTCAATTTATTTTCCTTCCCCGAATTCATTTAAGTCTTGGAGGGCGCATGCGTTTCAAACAAATATTTGAGATTGTGCGCCTTAACCAAGATACTTCATGTAACAATCCTAAAACCCATTTGGCGCGACATGATTAAGTTCGACGTTTGAAACGGGAGTCGCGCTAAACATGCTCAAGTGTCGCTCCAAACAGAGTTAGGTTCGGCACATGAGAAGTGCGACGTTTGAACCAGGCCCTTAATCTTAATCTTAACATTATCCTTAATCTGCTCTGTCACTGAGTTGTTCAGTGTCCGTATCATCTTCATCATCTAAACTTTCTTGACAACAATCTAACTGAATCAATTTTTTTTCTGGATATGGCTGTTTTATCTGGTCTTCAAAGGCTTGCAATATAGTTGGAGCGTTGGATGTGCTTCCTAATGTTGAAACTACGCGAAGGCCTAGAGATGGAGCTGCAGTTTTCTTGTCTCTTGCAAATGTTTTTTGAAAAACCTTTCCTCTTGCATCATTCACAGCATAAAATCGTTTTATGAAAGACACACCCTAACCAGGTCCAATATATGTTCACATGGGTATCTATGGAGAACAGTTGACACGATAACACTATTTGTAATTTCAGTGCATTTCATTTTAGATTTTTTCATCACATTTTAGATATCCCATCAGTAGAGAGTCCTGCTTTACACGGAGCCGTGTCAAACTTTTCAATTCAGCAGAAATTTTAGAATATTAAGATGAAATTTTCAATCTTTAAACGCATTGCTCTCCAGTCTACTTTGAAAATGCAAAGGGGGTGCCTGTTCGTCAGCTAATGTCTTCAAAGTGTGGAAAATTATAGCTTTCTGACCACTGCCAGTATCCATTTTTGAAACAAGCGCATCGGCAGTGGAATGGAGGAAATTTATATAAAAGTTATGCGAACAATTTTCCTTAAAAAGGTTCGAAATATAAATGAGTACAAGATTTGATTATGCTTTTTATGTAACCGTAGCTGTCTCAATTTTTATCGTGTCAATAACCGTAGGCCAATCAATATTCTTGAAAAAGTTTATAGTTGTTGCACCAGATCAACTATAGCTCATTTCTAGCACAGCCTGTCAGTTTTTATTGAAAACCCAAATTCAGCCAACGAAAAGGTTCTAGTTAACATTTTTCCAGAATTACTTTTTTCCTAGTTTTGGATACAAATCAATTGTTCATGTACACATATTTTTATTACACCTCTAGAGGGACCATCATGGAAACAAGATCGTAATGACCTTTTTAATGCTATCCCTGCCATTTTTAACCTGGGGTGTTTTTAGTCTATGTTTTTAACTTCTATCTGTAAATTTTATATACCTGTAAATAGATCTTTTTCTTTTTCTTAATTTTAAATTGTAATTTATTTGATGGCAAAATTATACATTCATACATACCTTAGCAGCAGTAACGGAAATGTGTCAATTTAATACCATTCGTTAACATGAACAATAACAAGAAGTGGACCAAGTCATGATCCTGCAGTACACCGCAATTGACTTTTTGTAGATAAGAGGATGCACCATTAACCAAGCTTGTATTATGGACGTCTACTCTCGGGGGGTATGCCTAATTTTTGGACGGGGACGTGCCATTTTGGTTAAAATTTTGGACCCATAATTCCGCAAATGTCTGAAAAACGTGACCCATAATTCCGCAAACATGATGAAAACTTTACCCATAATTCTGCAGAGCAAATTTAAAAAAATGATACCGATAATTCCGCACTTTTCAGAAAAAATTTACCCCTAAATAATGGCACGTCCCTATACCTTTAAACATATGAAGGTAATCCCCCCCCCCCCGAGCGTCTGTTTGTAGATAGATTCCATATTTCTCCAGTCTTTGGAAAAAATGTTAGGATCAGTATGAAAACAAATTACTGATGATGTGTGGGGCACGGAGAAGGGTAAATGCATTTGAAACATCGATTTTCTTAGTGAAGAATATCAAGGCTGAGCTGTCTACAATCTTGGACAAAAATTTTGGAACTCACTTCGAAAATCGATGCCGGTTTAGATTTTTACGTTTTCCTTCAAATTTTCACCCCCTCTCCCCTTCAGCAATGTTGTGTATGGAAGACACATTGATTTACAACTTGCAACATTGTACTGGGGGTGAGGGGGCGGCGGTATCAGGTAAATTTCTGAAAATAGCTGGAGTTCCAATATATTTTGTCCAGGGTTGTAGCTTTTTGTACAAATGAAATGAACATCTTTAGAAGATGTTAAAAAGCTAAAAGCGAGCTATTTCGTAACAGACAGAGACAATTTTTATACGACCCCACGAGTAAGCCCCACCCTAAATTACTAACCCCCAAGGGGCTAATTCGAAGATTACGAAGATGTTGAGGTGAATGACTTTGAAAGTCAAGAACAACAACAACCATATCATAATGGTAGAGAAGGGAAGTCTATTTCTAAGAAGGAGTCCGGCGTTTGTGTTCTGTTTGGATATTTGATCTTAGAATGCTTAAAATGCATAGAGAGAATCTGCTTCTTATTGAAAAGTGTTTATTCTAAGTCATCTTGACTGAAGTTCGTCGATCGAGAAGCGGGCCAGGCCCATAAAGTGGACGGGATGGGTGATTTTGATGTGAATTTGAGTTGCCAAAGAGACTTGCAGATTGCCAAGCATATTAAGTTCATGGAACGAACCATCAGTATTTTGCCATGTGAATATGGATATTTTGACAGCTCAAGGTAAGGTCCGCCTGAAATTTTACGTTTTACCATATATTTGCACGTTTTATCAGTTGAAAAATCAATAGTTTGTCGGTTTGTTCAATCTTGAGTTCAACAACCTTTATATTACCTTGCACATATTTAAAAAGCCTGTTGTCCTCTCTAAGCTCTTCCAGGAGGTAACAAAATAAGATAGGATACTGGGAAAAATGTGTTGGTATCTTTTCAACACAATGTAAAATATATCCCAAAGTTGTATTAGATGAAACCTCAGTAATTGTGCTTCATTCCCACCATTTAGAGGCTAAAGTCAAATTTTTGTAGCAGAAGAAATTCTGGAAAGGTACACAAACACTTACTAAGTATTCATAAGTGTACCTTTCCAGAATCACAAGTTTGCCTCTTTGTTGTATTAGAGGTAGCGAGGGAGCTTAGGTAAGATTTAGATGGTTCAAAAGTTGGTCTCATTTATCCAATAAACCTTTTGGGGGTTAGTTTGGACCAAGGGCCCTTATTGTTGATATTGAGACTGTTGTTTATATTCCAGACTTTCATTTCCTTTCTTTTTGGATAAAACTAAATTTTTGATCTCAGAAACTTTGCAAAGCTTGCTTTTGAAAAGGCATTTAGTGTATCTTTTTCTCGAAAACCTAGCTTCTGAAAGTAATTTAGGATGACAGGAATAACCAACAGCTAATATTCAGGCACGGTGGAGCAGGGGGGTTGGGGGGCTTTAGCCCCCCTGCTTTTTTTTGATCCCTCACTTTTCTCAACGCTCTGTGGTTCCTGATAATGTTCCTCACTCTAAGAGAAAGTTTGTTCATGTTAGTGGCTCAAAGAAAAGGCCCTTGGATCTTCATTCCCTTACAATTATGGCAGGATGTGATATATTCTATTTTGGATTTTGCAGAAATATTTTTGAATACAAAAGAATTTAAACCTACTGCATTTATAATACTCCAGTCAGATACATAAATCTTATGCCAAAATATTTGAGACAAAAATCTGAGGCTCTTTTTTTTTACATACTATAACACAATGATGCTATTTTTCTATGTGACATACTATATTGTAAATTCAAAAAACTTTTATATCAATAGAACATCTTCAAAATATGTGAATGACCAAATTTCTTTATATTTGAACGAAAAAAGAAAAAAGACAGCCCTGCCAAATAACTATCAGCATTTGAAATCAGGAATACATATTTACATTTAAATTGTTTGAAATAGCAAATCTGTGTAAAATGGTAATTTTTCTAGGTATATTTTCATAATGAAGTTTTTAAATCAGATTTGCATACTTGGCAGGATTCAAAAGAATCCCACATAAAGAATGAAACATTACAGAATCTAGTTTTGTTGCATCCAAGAAATCAGAAATTGTGACACAAGATTTTAGGGAAAATTTATTAAGCATATTGAAACTATTTAATAATAGCATATTTTGAGCTAGAGGCATCATTTTAAAGGCTGTAATTGGCTTATGATTCCTATCACAAGATTTGGTTGTTATTTATTATTTTCTGTTTCTTTCCTTGCAATGATGATAATTTTTTTTCTTTTAGGATAACAATTTTATTTTTTGCACTATCTGGATTAGACATACTAAATGCATTAGACAGAGTAGAAGAGGATAAACAAGACATGATTAACTGGATCTATGCACAGCAAATCGTGCCTTCTTTTGAAGGTAAATGCAAAAAAATATCTTCTTTTTCCCAGTTGTTACTTCCATTTATCACCCTTACACAAGGTTGCTTTGGCCAGGGGGAGAAGGGTTGGCAATTGTTTCAAGCATTTATAAATATATTTATTTAAAAGATGAATTGTCACAAATGTTGTGTTAATTAGGCTCCATCCCTGTTAACTATCACTTTAGAAGCTACCCAAGGGATTTCATTTGTAGTAAACAATTATTGTGTAAATAGAAAGTCTGTTTGGTGTGAAAGGGGAGTTTTTATTCACTTGAAATAGAAGTAGTATTATTTTGGCTTATCTAGCACTAGAATAAATTTCAAGAGGAAATTCTGGTAAGAACATTATTTAACCTTTTGGAAATTTAATATTCCATTGAATTTCTGAGCATGGCATCATATTTATGTATTTTTGTTTTCAATCACTCTTGATTCTCAAATTTTTAAAAATGTTTTTAATGAAATTTTCCAGCATTCAAACTGAATAGGACATTAAACAATTTCATAGCAAATACAGTACTACTCGATTTGTATCAATTGAAGCAAATTTAATTTTGAAAAATAGCTAAAAATGTGATGCTTATGATAATTTGAATGAACTCACCGTGAGCAACAAGTCAAGTACCCTTTTCACATAAAGAATTTTTTCCAGGGATTGTTACTATTTCCCAACTTACATTGTAGGTCCTAATATGTCCTAGCCTAAAGGATAAATGCTTGTACTGCTTGTATTCAAGCATTTATCCCAAACTTCCTCTCAATCAGGGGTGGAAAAAGTATCAGACCACGGGACCAATGGTCCCAGAAATTTTTTGGGACTCTTGAAAGGAAAAAGGAAGAAGGAAAAATAGAAGAAAGAAAGAGGGAAGAAAAGGAAAAAAATCAGAAAGAAAGAGGGAAAGAGAGAAAAATGGAAGGAAAAAAGAGGGGATGAAATCTATAAAGTCATTTTGATGTTCACTTCCAGACCCTTTTCATAATCTCGAATGGCATCTTTTCATTATAGTTTTCAGGTTTATTTTATTTCATCTCTTTGCAGTATAAAGATATAGCATGCTTGGTTTTAAAAGGAGTAATTCTTTCTTTTGAACATCTTTTTTAGATGATGATGCCTCAAGGTGTGGTTTTAGGGGAGCATCATACTTTGGTGGATCTTTTAACCCAAAGGTTTCAATTTTTTTTTTCAAATTGATCTGTTTATATTGTGTTTATATTTGCAAATTGAAGGCTTTTCTTCACCAAACCAGTTTTAATCCAGGGGTTTCCCCTTTGCTGCAGGTGGCCAGATGTACTTATGTCCTGTAGCAATTTTTTCTATTTTAGTCTCCTTTTTGTATTTTCTTTCACCAAACAAACTTTCTTAATCCCTTCTTCCACCTATCCCTTTCATGTCTTTTTGGGCCTTTCTCTTCCTGTTTGACAATTTACCTTGAAATCCAACACCTTCTTTGAGATGACATCTTCTGGACGTCTAAGTATATGTCCCAACCATCTCACTCCATTAGCCTTTGCCATCTTATCAATTTCAATATTTATTTTTTTATTCATTGAATTGTAATGCCATTCGTTGTATAGAACAGGAATGTTCCAAGTTGCTACTCTGAGTTTCATGCTTAACGCGACCATCAGACAGCTTCAGCTCTGCCTAGATGGCAATGAGCAATTTATGGCAGACAGTTGGAGTGTAATTTTCATTGAATTTATTATATCAATCTAAGGATGCATAAAAATATTTTAGTTTTCCTCAAATTATTTCCTGAAATGTAGCTTTTCTCAGGACTGAATTTTAAGAATACAACAGGAATTGCTAGACAGCATTCAAATAGACTGACATGAATTTGTTGCAGGACTTTGAAAATGATAAAATAGTTTATGATAATATTTTATCTTCTAAAAATAAATATGAATGTGATATGCTCAAGTATAAAGTTTAATATAAGTTCTAATTTTTGATTTCCAGGGAGTCCCTGCTAGTTTGAGTCCATATGAAGAAGGACATATTGCAATGACATATACAGCATTGTGCTGTCTTCTAATTCTTGGCGATGATTTGTCAAGGGTGAATAAAAAGGCGATAGTTGCTGGATTAAAAGCGGTTCAACTTGATAATGGAAGGTAAACAATTTTATTATGAATTTCAGTTGCATTTGTATCCTTGTTTATATCCAAGAAAACCATTTTGGAGCAGCTCCAGCAGAAAGCGGGATGGGGGAAGGGGGGTAAAGGGTAAACTATAGAGTACCGAAGTGATGACGTCATAAAAATATATTTTAAGAATTTTTTAAATTTTTTCCATAACCTGAAAGCGTATCACGAAATACCTCTAAATCTGCAAAATCAGTTAAAGGTATTACGAATTGGCTGAGATATGGCCACGTGAGCACATCTTGCCCCATCAAACCTCTGTAATTTGGTCTTGGTTCATAACTTTATGAACCAGGCCTGAATAACAGTAACCCGTTAGCAAACTTTAAACTGGCCATATCTCGCCCAATTTTGAGCATATCTAACTGATTTTGCATTTTAAGGGGTATTTTATGCTGTTCTTTCAGATTATGTGGTTAAATTAAAGAAATTCTAAAAAAACATTTTTGATGACGTCACACTTCGGTACTCTATAGGCCCATAGCAAAAGATTTAGGGCCATGGACCATTTTAAGTTACTAAAAAACTCTGGTAAATATATCCATTTTATTTGCGATTATTCTATTTGGAATCCTCTATTACATTTCCTCATTTTCCTACAAGTTATGGAGATCAGTCTAGTGGAAAAGAACAAAGATTTAAATTGATTTGGTAATTTATGAAATAGGCTTGGCTGAAGGACTTCTATCGTTGGTATTTCCTCTGCAATGAAACTGTTTGCAAACACAGACACGAATGTATTTTTGATTGTTCCCATTATTCTTACAGTTTTATGCCTGTGAAATCTCAAGGTGAAAATGATATGCGATTTATATACTGTGCTTGCTGCATCAGCCATATTATTGATGACTGGGGTGGAATAAATGTTGAGAAAGTCATAAAGTACATCAGAGACAGTTGGGTAAGTCCAGTGTAGTTCTTTTGCTAAGATTACAGTAAGTCCTCGAATAAGCCCCCACCTTCGAATAAGCCCCCACCTTCGAATAAGCCCCCACCTTTGAATAAGCCCCCACCTTCCAATAAGCCCCATCCTCCCAATAAGCCCCCACCTTCAAATAAGCCCCCACCTTTGAATAAGCTCCCACCTTCCAATAAGCCCCCACCTTCGAATAAGCCCCTACCTTCGAATAAGCCCCCATGGGCTTGCACATTACCTCAATAAGAATAGGTATATCCCAACATATCTGCATTTTTAAGCATACGGACCAGACTCAAATAAACCCCTTGGCTTGCTTTTCACTCTTCACATTTAAAAAATACCAATGGATTTTCTTCAATGTGTCAGTTTTGTACGATAAAATGATTATGTGAAATATGCATGTTTTTATACTAAATCTTAGCATTGATTAAAGTTCCAACAAAGCCTAAAGCGATATTTCAATTCTTTTTATCGCAGTCTTACGACCATGGTTTTGGACAAGGACCAAGCTTAGAATCCCACGGTGAGAAAGTAAAATTCCCTTTGCAAGATTATTCTGCGCTTTTTTCTTTATCAATATGGCGACCTCTGCCCCCAACCCTGAGGAGGAAATTTTATTCTTTGTTAATCATGCCCAAAATAAAAACTTGTCTAATTTTACGGAAATGACAAAAAAAATCCAAAAGTATTTATACATTACAAGATTTATACATTAAGTACACGCTACTTTACATACACTACAAAGACGGTACCCCGGGGAGCATCAACTCTGTCTACCCCGGGGCCATAACATACAGGGGAAAAAATGCACGTTTGTAATTACAAATACTTAAAGATGAGGCCTTATGAGGTGGGGGGTGGCATTATTTCATATTTGATAATGATTTCTTGCAATTATTTCATATTTCAAAATTAACAAAGCAAAGTATTTCGAAATTGTTGAATGTTTCATTCTGCCTTCAGGTGCCACGGAAAGTTGGACCGACTCACATACAAAATTTACCGAGTCCTCAAAACCAATCTTTGCAGCTACAAATATTGAAAATGTATAAAGAATAGGTGCATAAAAAATCAAACGAATTCCGTACTTGGGTAAAAATAAAGAATTCATTCTCTTTGAACCTCTGTGGAATCATTTGGTACTTTTAAGGGGAATCTAAGGACACTGGATGAAATATTTATCTTTGTTTTGCTCAACTTGTTTTTTGGGAACAACTAAAAAAGAAACTCGAAAAACATGTACCAAAACTAATTGTCTTAAGTCTTTTGCGTGGAGGGTACAGCCTGAAAGGGGCTAGTTTTATACACATGCCTGGAAGAGACATTAAACTTGGAGGACTTTTAACTTTGAATTTTAGGGCATCTTCTTTGGCTCTACTAACCACCAAGAGCCCTAACAACCAGTAAATTCAGCTGTTTAACGGATTTTTCATACTACCATCATACTGTTATTTCTAGTCACTTACAGTCTTAGGTGCATTCAATAGAAAGAAATAATGCTAAAATAATCTTAATGCGAAGCTAAAGTTAAGTGACATCAACTCTTACGATGTTCTCAAGAAGAAATCAGAATAAATGCTGCAGATTGACTACATGATTCTAAAGAATAGATATTTTATGGACAGGGAATTTTGCATAACCATCTAGCAACCAGCCTAACCGAAATTTTTAAGGTTTAAATCATTAAGCCTTGGGAACTTTCTGGCAGAAGACCGGAAGTCACGTCCACGTTACAAGCTTTTTGATGGTATCAGATTTGAAAAATTCGAATGTCGCAATTTTGCTGACAGTGCATTTTTCATGCTTCTAGTAAAGCGACTTCTGGTCAATTACCAGAATGCTTCCAAGGCTTAAAACGATCAGTGGCCTTTATTTTTATGATTTAAACTTTCTTCGAGTTTGAAAAAAACAGTTCGTGGCCGTGTTTGTGGCTTTTCATAATATTGCCTTATAGTTTGATCTTTTTGCGTAATTTATAATCACTTTTAGCATTACTTATTGCCGCCATACTGAAATCAAAGATATGGTCGGAACCAACATTTTCAAGATAAGAATAACTTTTCGGTGAACATGTTAACTCCGGATAAAAAAATTGAAGAACGAACAATAACTTTCTGAATATTATTACCAGCAAATCAATCCTGCATCTAAATGCCTTACAAAACAGTGATTTAGTGGTCTTAGGAAAAATTCCTAGTACGTATATGTGGAACAAGCAATGTGGATAAAGCTTGTTTATGACGTTATTTGATGTTCTCGTCTATTTCGTTGAGATAATATAAGCCAAAAGTATTTGTGGTAGACTAAACCAAGCTCTGAAGAAAAACTGCTAGGAGTGATAATAGATAAAAATCTTAATTTCAAAAGCCACAACTCAAACTTATGCAAAAGAGCCAGCCAAAAACTGCATGCCTTTGTTAGAGTATCGCCATTTATGGGTTCTGATAAACTGCGTCTCCTAATGAACAATTTCATAAAAGCTCAGTTTAGCTACTGCCCCCTAATTTGGATGTTCCATGACAAATGTCTGAATGCTAAAGTGAATAAAATCAACGAAAGAGCACTCAGAATTGTTTATAAAGACAGTCATGCTGACTACGAAGCATTGCTGACTTTGGATAATGCAGTATCAATTCACCAACGCAATCTACAGTACTTGATGATAGAAATATACAAAACCAAACATAACCTGAACCCTAATTTCATGAGTGAGATTTTTGAAACAAGAAAAGTACATTATGATTTGCGAACTAAAAATAATATTTGCATTCCAAAAGCCAGGACAACTTCTTATGGTATAGAAACTGTGAGATATTTAGGTCAAAAACTGTGGCAAACACTACCTCACAGTATAAGAGAGTCCCAATCTTTGGCAACATTTAAAAAGAATTAAGAGCACACCCTGTAGAATGCGACTGTAGATTGTGTAAAATATTTATTGCTGGGTTAGGTTTTATTTAGAATATTATACCTTAAACATTTCTAGCATTGTACCATATATTTATTTTATACTAATTCTTTATAGATAGTTGGCCTTAATTAGCTCCTTTATAGCTATTAGACATTCAGCTAGTACGCCAGCTATAAGCAAATTATTTATTATAATTATTATTATTATTATTATTACTATATTTTATGCTATTGGTATTTTTCCTATACGTAAAATTATGAAAAGCCTTTAAAACCCCTAGAAAAATTGAAAATATTAAAAGAACAACCCAGGTGAAATATGGTTGGTATCTTAACAGGTCTACAGATCAATAGTCACTTGAGTCAATGCTTGAGGTCAATAGTTTCTTATATCTTCAAGTCTTTGTAATTACAAACGTGCATTTGTCCTCTCTATGTTATGGCCCCGGGGTAGACAGAGTTAATGCTCCCCGGGTTATCGTCTTTGTAGTGTATGTGAAGTAGCGTGTAGTTCAGGTATTACAATAACTTGTTATGTAACTTTTTAGAATGTATAAAAAGTCAATGCTGTTATCAAGTAGATAATTCTCACACAACATTTAAAGAGGTATTCAGTTATTTTGTTGTTTCATATTTCATACTGGGAACCAAAGTTATTTCATATTTCTAAGCTAAAAAATCTAAATATTTATATGTTCATTCCAAAGTTCTCAATTATTTCATATTTCAAACACCCCTTATAGGGCCTCAAAGATATAAGAGGGGGGGGGGGGGGGAGTTGTCTATGAGAAGTAAACTTTAATCGAAGGTTTTGGTTTCAAAATAAAAACTAGCATCCGTTCTGCGACTTGTATTGTGTTTGCAAACTCGATTACAAAGATATATTTTATGATTCGTTTCACTAAATGAGAGACGCCTTTCTCCATATTTTGCTTTCAAATTCCTAAACTCACTAGGGGCCTATTACCGTGTTCCCTCTATTCTACTGAACCCCCTGTGGAAGGAGATTGCTGGAGAAGTATATATATGTATTTCCTTTCAGGTGGTTCCACCTTTTGCGCTATAGCATCTTTGATACTCATGGGGAAACTCAGCGAATGCTTCAGGGAAAAGGAAATCGACAAAATAAAGCGATGGTGCATTCTTCGACAGAAAAGTGGGTTCCAAGGTCGGCCGAACAAACCCGTTGATACGTGCTATTCTTTTTGGGTTGGCGCCTCCCTGCAGGTAACAGTTTCCAACTTATACAATAGTAAACTGACGACGTCATTGAAATGCTTTTTAGATATCTAGGACATTCCAATCTAAAAAGAAAATCACTAAAAATAGATTCATTAAAAACAGACCAAACAAGAAATAATGTATAGTTTAAATGCTTACTATTCTAAAGCTATACAGGTTTTCATGTCACAGACAGACAAAAATTCTGACGGAGACAGTAACATTGGCTTTTTCTTGACACTTCCATAACCTGAACATAACTTTTGTGACTTTAAAACATTTTTCACAAAATCTTTGGGAAAAGAAAAAATTGTTTTAAGTATGTTTTTATCTGCTATATCGCACTTTTCTTGTCATTTCTCATTTGACACAGCTTTCATTTTCTATCAAACCACGCCCACTGATAAACAGCACCCTCTATTAAACGCTGCATACAATGGTTGGATTTTGTTATAAACGTCGCGGTGTACTCTCGAGGAAATACGGTATTAAATTGGCTGAGATATAGCCTAAAAAGCAGGGGACACCCCTATCGAATCACTGTCACTTGGTCTTCATTCGAATGTTTTTGAACCAGGCCTAGACAACAGTGCCGCTCGTCTGTAAACTTTAGGTCATGTCTCGTCGAATTTGTGACAGATTTACATGAAATATTGTATAAAAAGCTTTAAGATCCCAAAAAGAGGCCCGAAATTTAAAATCCTAAAAAAGAGATTTTTCACGAAGTTAACACTGAAGCACTGTATTCATTGTGAAAGTTTATAAATTACCATAGTTAATAGGGAAATCACAATCCTGTTGTTCAAAATTACGAACAACCATGTTTTCCATTGGGGGTAGCTAGGACTGTGACATTTGGGGGGGGGGAGTTAGGGTGCCCCAATTTTTAAAAAAATAACATTTTTAAAAAGACTATCATCGATGGTTAAGAGGCAACATGTTATCCCCATTTTAAAACTCAGTACGATCTGCAAACGTTTTGGTTTGGGGACCCTTTAGAATATTAGGGGGCCAGGCCCCTTTTGCCCCCCTCTTGCTACTTCCCTGATATTTTCTTTCAACTAATGAACAACATGAACAGCAACAATGGCAGCAGCAACAACAACAGCAACAGCAGCAGCAACAGAAGTAACATCAGCAAATATGTGCAGATTTGTACATAGAGATTTGATAATAAAAACCTTATTACATGTTGTTCCCACCCCTAGCCCCACCAACGTAAGTCCACCCCGAGCCCACCAACGTACGTCCACCCTGAGCCCACCAACGTAAGTCCACCCCGAGCCCACCAACGTAAGTCCAAAAAGAGGACGTTTTCCTTCCAATCCAACGATCAAGGAGATACATTACTTTACATAGCTAACAGATTTCTATGAACAAAAACTTTCAAACGCCTGCTTGCTGACTGTAGACTCTCATAAAAGTATGATGTACTTTAATGTGTACTACTTTATCTTGAATATGCGTATTTTGGTCATCAATGTTGGCTGGTAGCTTTATAATGTAGTAGATTGGATGCCTTGAGGGGAATAGTTTTGTATTTTTATAGCATTATCATTACTATTGTGTCATTTGGTGTCATTTAATACTGATTTTATAATTTAAAACTTTGATTTACGATGTCTTCATTCAAGCTTCTTGGCGCAAGTGAATTAATCGAAAAAGACGCGAATAGAGAATATTTGATGGGAACACAACATGCTACCGTTGGTGGATTTAGCAAATGGCCTGATTTTCACCCAGGTACGTTTACTTGCTCTTCACCTTAGAAGCCTTTATTGCTCCTAAATGGGCAATATTCCCGTTGCGAAAAATGTTAATCGAATGGAGAACATTTTTAGTATTGGGGGGGGGGGAGGGGGTTTAAATCTTGATATTAGAAAGGGGGGTCTAAGAGAGGAGAGCATTTTCAAGTGAGGGCTTATTCAAAATTCGATCTTTTTGAGGGAAGGCTATATTAAAATATTATATAAAAATTTCCTATTTTGGCTGGCAGAGTATATTAACAAAACAAAATTTGTGGCTAAAAAATTTGAATTAAAAAGTCAACCGGATAAAAAAGCTCTAATGTTATGTTTTTGAAGGCTTTAGAGATGTGATCTAGTGCAAAAGCTTTAAATAGATGTTGAAGTCAATTCTCTGCATTTTTCTAATACTTATGGTATTAAAAGGTGAGGAAGGATGTTAATTTCGGTGTCAAATCTCATATAGTCAAAGTAGTTCAATGAACGCTAAAAATTTTGAGCTATGAACATTTAATCAAAAAGCAAAATTGATTTGTTACAAAATTGCTATATTCGATTTAACATTTGGAAGAGCATTTTTCTTAGAACAAGAGATAGAAGTAAGATCTCGAGCGCTTCAAAAAGCGTGGTCCTTATAAATTCTTCCCTTGAATCCACCTTTAAAATCCTCTTACAGTCTCAGATATGTATAGTGAAACAGCACTGCTACAGTATTTTATACTTCCTTCACCTTTGAGAGCTGAATCTGAGGCAAATGTCATCTCTATTTTGAGATTTTTATTTTAAAAGTTGTCAAGAATTTTATGTTTAGCTTTTTTGTTCGGAACTTCCTCTCTTTATTACATTTTCCGTAGACATTATAAAGCGAGGAGGGTTATTGACTGAATCCTTATGGCAAATTTATCAATTTAAGGGCTGCTTGCACGAGCCCGGGTTGGCTTTTTCACCTACCGACATTCGGTTTCATCGACTAACTAAGGATTTTGTGAACCAGCTGAAGGGTTTCAGATTAACTCATTCAGAAATAGGGGGCACACCCCCAATACCCCCGCTAGCAACGCCCCTACGTAAGCTTATGGTCAACTGCACCTTTTATCATAATGTTTCACGTTTTGTTCTAGACGTCCTCCATACTTATTTTGGACTTTGTGGCCTCTCTTTGATGAGCCAGCCAGGACTGCTTTCAGTAGATGCAGCGCTCAGCATTTCAGAAAGAGCTAAAGATCATCTTGAACGACTGCACGCATTATGGAGATAGCATTGATATGAAAAGTTGATTATTTTTTTAAACTCACCAATGCAGTTTTTATGCAGGGATTCCTTTTAGACAAACGTTAAATTCCTGAATATAAAAAGCCTTTAAGATTTGATACATATCACGACTAATATTCATTCAATGAAAGTTTGGAAAGATCCATAACACAAATCTTATGTAAAGTTTCTCTTTTTGCTACCTAGCTTCCGATGGTAGTTTTTAAAACACCGAAACGCTATGCTTATCGAGCAGTGTCCTGGTCTTTCCTTTCGAGATGACCATACCCCGTGATTCCTACGCCTAGAATTACAGAGAGCCGGCGACTTTCCTCGCTCTGGGTGAAAGTTTGATCCTGTCATTGTTGGGGAGACGAGCAAGAGGATGTTTTTTTTCGCGTGGAAGAAAATTTTTATTACGCATGCTCTGTGACTCACATCAAAGAGACTACACTAAAACGTTTGACCCAGTACTGACCACAGGATCTAATACATGCATGAGAAACACCGTGGGGGACCCTGCTTTGTTTTAGGCAGGCAGGGAATGTGTTCTTGCCCAGGTCATTCGATGATTTTACTCTTTTTTTATAATTATTGACACACAAAGTCCCTGCATCTAGTTTATGTTACAAAAATGCCCATTTATGATGAATGAAGGTTAAGTGCAGTTAATTCAAAACAGAGTAAGAGTTAGTGCTGCTCCGCCTGGGGTTCGTGTTTCCATTGGTTTTTAATTAAACAAAAATTTAGTTTTTTAGGCTGACAGAGGGTAGCAAGCTACTTGATGTCAATGGGAATTTCATTCCAGTTCTTCAGAGCTGGGAAGAACAATTTTCTTTTGGCATAATTTAGATTAGATTTAGATTTAGATTTAGATAGAAATTTTTACCAAATTAGAGTATAGGAACAAATGTTGGAATTCATACCAGGGCTGTACTGGGAAGAAATTTTTGTTATTTTAAAGGCCATGGCTCTGCCTCGCCATCGTTGAAGGGATCCCTGCCTTGATTCTCAGAGGCTACCTCCTATAAATAAAATACACTCTTTTATTCGAAACGGCCTAAACACTTTTTAAAAAGGATATTGTTTATAAAAATATTCAGGCTAAGAATCATCCAATTTGTAAGAATATTTTTTAAGCATATTTTTCAGCAGTTGCCTGTTTTGCGATGTTCCTAACAGGGAATCTCATAACTGACATCTTTGGTTTTTCAAAATACGTTTTAGAGCGGGCGATGTTCCCCTAAAACCATATCAGATTTGAAAAAAAAACACCTAAAGAATATATTCAGGTTCAAAGCGAACATTTCTAAAAATTACCGGGGCTGGGAATAATTATTGTATTCTCATAACAAAGAGGGCATAAGAAATCCAAAGACGACACAAAGATGAATAAGGGACTAAAGTACGGATCACCCTCGACCATAAGAAGCTGCTTAAAATCCTCCTTTCAAAGATGGGGTGGAAATAATTCTTTTCGAAGGTTAGACTACTTCCTGATTGCTTAGTCCATTAATTAGTAAAACATAGGATATTGTGGTCGATTAGAACATTTCCTTTCTTCTAAAAAGTAGCATTTGGTATTTTAGAAAACATTTCATACTGTAAACATAAAAGAATGTGAAGCTGATTGTGATTACTAATCTTTTAGAAAATTACTAATCTGTGGGCTAAGATTCTTTTAGAAAATGAGTGTCTGTGATACCCTGTAAGCCAAGGTAAAGAGTGCTCGCAATTTTGTGTCGATGTTTGTCTTGGCTTTGGACATCAATAACGCAGTAAGTCAGGTGAACAACTGCCTGAAAGAGTTGTTTCTAAGAACTAGCTGGGAAGTTCCTTGCTGTGGATTTGTTGATATCCGATCCGCGAAGCTTTGCATATGCAAACGATGGCATCAGTTGAAACCGATGATGCAGAACAAATTGTCACTTTGATACAACCTGAAGCATTATGGCATAATTTCGATTTGAAGTTTTGATTTGATAGGAACTGGCTATGACTTCAACTCCTGATTTCGACCATGTGGAGAGAAGCAGGCGAGAACACAATGTATTTGACGATATGCGCGCCTTTAAAGTCATTTTGAGAGTTCTTGGCTTCTGGCATCCAAGAGATGCTTCGTTTCTCGAATCCTGGGCATACCCTGCGATTGTAAACTTGATATTTTTTACGATGTTGGTCTTGGAAACTGTTTATTTGGCCACTGCTTATCCGCAAGCATTGAAATTGGCGAAGAATGAGAAAAACTACGACCAGCTCTTCGACTTATCAGTTCGTTTGACTGTTGATTTGTACGCATGGCTGTGCCACGTTTTTACTGTCGCATATTTCAAATGTCGAGATTTGGAATCGAATTTATTGCAAGTTATAAACTTCGATGTGGATTTGATACTACGATGCCTGGCTTTAAATCGCCGATTAAAGTTTATACTCTTAGTTTCGTTCATAATTAACCTACTGGTCAACGTATTAACGTTCTACAATACATTCTGGCTAGATACAAACTTGAGAAGTAATGCTACCAAAATGGAGTTTCTTGTTTATGGAATGAATTACCTCTATATTCCGTTCAATATTTATCTTATACCGGTTTCGCTGTCTTTGACGTGGGTTATGTATCTCTTGTATGGTATTTCAAAGCTTCGGCTGGTGCATTTTAAGCGAACCTTCTTGCAATGGGAATACTCAACCGAGGATGCAATTTACTGCCATTATACAGAGTATTCAATCAAAGTGCATCGCACGTGCACCAAACTCAAATGGCTGTTCATTGTCCACAATGCCATAATGGTCGTTCTCACTCCAATGTTTTGTTATCTGAGCATGGAAATCGTCAAGAAGCAGAATTCTTTCCATTTTGCTATATTCATTTTGCTCTGCACCGAGACTGTAGTCAGCTGGATAGTGCCTCTATTATTCGCTGAAGGCCTAGCCTCGCAAGAGAATCAGTTTCGGGAAGACGTAAATAAGTTCTGCCCCGGTTATATTCGCGATGTAACACCAGGAATTGATGGTGAAGCACTTGAGCGAAAGACATTTACATCTAGAGGTGAAGTAAACAAACTGCTTTCATATTTAAGGGAGCGTAAACTCGGGTTCGTTATCGGAGCCTACAGCTTTCAACTAAAGCTCTCGATGTGGTCGTTTTACTTTGGATTCATATTGTTTGTAATCAAAGTTTTTATTTAAATGATGTTCCTTAGTCGATGAGGTAACCTCATAAAGAAGATACTATGGGCAAGATTCTGAAATGAACTTCTGTTTAGAAGTTTGGTTGTGGACTTTCGAGAGCCTTAACTCCGCCTCGTGGGCACCATATACCATACAAACTGGAAACTTTGTTGCTTGCGCGGACAGGTTCATTTTCAAAATTTGCGACTGCGCGCCTGAAATTACACACATCTAGAAATGTGTAGTGTTAAAAATGTAACATTTTGTCAATTGCCAAAAGGGGCCTATTGTAGGTTTTCTTCCATCGAGGCTTCGAACCTTTTTCTGACTGCGGTTGACTAACTTTTTGACTTTTTTAGTTTATTAGTTTTTATCATTATTATACATTTATTTATGTTGGGCATAATACATCAATACAGTATCTAAAAGCTAACATTGATAAAGAATTACAGAGTAAATATCATTAACAATTTCGTATAAAATTATAAAAGCGTTATTTAGGATTAGGCAAGAAAACCACTGTTGGCAAATAGTTTGTTTTACAGATCTTGCAATTTCATTTATTTCTATCCCATTGTTTCATCTTACTTTTGAATTCATTTATATCATTTAAGTCCTACAATTCGTTTGGTAGGTTATTCTACAGCCTGAGTTCTAGCAAGGTGGTTGCTTCAATTCCATAGAATTTTGTCTGAACTTTAGACAGCTTGATTCGACTTCCATTTCTTATAGCACAATGTTGTTCTGCTAAAGAAAATATATATCTTATATATGTTAGGTTAAAGCTTTTAATGGAGTTGAATAATTCTTTCATAAGCCATGCAGGTTCCTTACTTGAATTGGCACCACGTTCTCCTTAGGCAAAGAAATACTGAAGTAGAATGCTGTTGTGTCTTGAGACAAGAAAATCTTTTCGTGCAAATGTTCTGTCGAGATTTGTCCAAATCAGAGGACAGTACCAAAACTTGGTTATTATTAAGGCTCGTGTAGTTTTGTCTGCAACTACACCTTGTAAGTGAATTTATCATCTAATAACATAATCAATAGTTATTCTCTGCTGTCAACCTTGACAAATTTGTTATCAATTTTAATCATTATTGCTTAAGAATAGTTGTTGATCATTATTAAACGTGATTTTTTCTCATTTGATTTAAGTCATTTTTATTGAACTATCTTGTAGGTATATTCATGTCTCTATAAAGAATATTTACAACAGTTTTGAATTTTTTTCCCATCTTCATAGATCGTGGTGTCATTAGCGTAATTAAAAACTTCGTTACCTTTACTAAATAGGAACGGATCGTCAATAAATATGTTAAATAAGAGAGGACCCAAAACCAATCCTAGAGGGACGCCTTGTTTGTTTCCCTCTAAGTGCTGCGCAACCGATCAATGTTTTTTCTTTGTTCCGTTTTACCCTTTGTTCCCTTTGGATGGAATCGAGAAGGATGGAAACTGTGTAATGATTTCTCGCGAAACTTGTTTGTTATCTTGGTGAGTTCAATACTATCAAACGCGATTTTTTACACTAACCAACAACTGGAGGTGCGAAGGTAGCTCTTCATTCTCCTAATCGCATTGAAGTTTCTTGTGCAGATAAAATCAACGCATACAATTTTGCCATGGTCGCGCTTCATCAAAAGCCAGGTAACCAGCCGCACTAGTTGTCAATTGACCCCTCATTTCATCTTTAGCATGAAGAAAAACTGGAGCTCAATCTGAATTGCAGTTGACGCTTCTTCCGAAAAAATGTAGGGACACAAGACACACTCTTACCTGTTTGCTTGGACTTAATGTCAACAAGAAAACTACCATTGCATGTTTCTTTACTGATTTTAAGATGTGAAGGTCTACAAATCACCTAAAACATTTCTTCCGATGAACAGTATTGAGGTTGGGTAGAGGGGGGGGGGGGGATTGTGTGACATCCCCCTACACCAATTGGTTGCGACGGGTTTAAAGGGAATGAAAGAGAGCCAGGAACAAAGCAATACGAAGACGAAAATCCAATGTGATGAAAAATAAAATTTTTAGAAGGGAATGTCTGTCTATTGGTGCCGAGAATGATAGAGAATCGCATATATTGAATGTAGTCACTGATAAGGAAAAAGCTTGAAAATTTTGAATTTAATACAAAGATCAGCTGATGAGACACGAAAATATAAATAAATTGTGCGTAAAAATGAATTCGATAAATATACTTACTTATTCAAATATTCAATACCCAAGCAAAGCAACACCTATTCACAACAATATAAAAATGGGCGTAGCATGAAATTACCACGTCTTTTGAAAAATAACTCCACCTTTTTGTACAAACCTTTGACAGCTCCAAAAAAATTATCAAATTTGACGAAAGCAACATCAACGAAAAAACTTTCTCACCTATCACCCTTTTAAAAACTACTTCCAATTTCTTTTAACTTGACCTTTCAGAATCTGACAACGGACAATAAGTCAAGTCCACATGAGGGGTTTCAAGCCTCGTGACATTTATTTTTATGACAAAATAATGGGTAGAACAATTCTAACCGATCTGAACATGGTTTCTGACAGAGTAAACTGGAACAATTTTGCAGTCAAAAGTTCCCAAACAAATCTCCAAGCTTATGTTCAAAACTGTATCAAAACTAAATCTAGGGTTGTTAATATATCTGGGCTCAAAAAGCACATAGTAGTTTACCATAATAAACTTTAAGAGTTAAACAGTGATGACGTCACAAAAACCTTCTATTAGAATTTTGGAATTTGGTCACATCACTTGAGAGAAGCATCATGGCATGCAACTAATTGTGCAAAATTTGCTAAATTTGTTAGAAATGGACAGAGACCTGGCTTCATAAGAATGAGCTTTTCACCATCATATTGTTTACAGGTATCTCGTACTTCTTTTGGCTATTGGGCCTAAAAAAAGATGACTTTTATGATGTCTCACTGTAGAAGCCTATTTCAGTTGCGTATCTTTGGTTTCTTTGAATAAAGTAAGCAGGACAAAGATACCTATCACAGAAAAGCCATGCAAAATTCCGAAGGACAGATAAATGCTAACTTGATAAACATAAAGCGCTATGAACTGTCCTAAGCAAGCCCCTGCTTGGCCAGCCGCTTCAGAAATGCCACAGCCGAAGGATCTGGTCGATGTTGGAAGGAGTTCTGCTCGGCAAACATAGACAAGATTGTTGAAAGCTGCAAATCCCAAGCCCGTTAGGGCCATAGTCATCATCAGAAGCCAGCCACTAATATCCCAATACAACGGTAACAAACACAAACATAGGAATGTAATCAGAAGGTAAAACGAGTGCCGTCTTGTGAAGTTCCCTAGAAGCCAATTAGATGCAAAAGCAGCAAGCATGACGGAAATCTCCAAAGCCCAACGATATTTGTAGGTAAAGCTCACTGAACATGATCCTTCTTGGCTCAGATCCGAGTTCTTACCGAACTGCATCGCTCCAAAACGCATCAATGCTGCATATAGAAATCCTAAAAACTGCATGTAACAAACCAAAATGATTCTTTTCACAATCTCAGTCCGAGATAACTGCTCTTGATACGCGGTTTTGTCATCACTGCGCTGTTTAACTTTGCCATGCCCGTCAGAGCTTTGTGCCAACAAAGATTTATATCCTTCCTTCAAGCCATTAATTTTGGCGATCCTTTGCAGCGAATCCTCTGCATCGTCAGTCCTGCCAGATGCCAATAAGTATCTTGGCGATTCGGGAACTAAACACATCAAACATGCCCCCAGTGCAAGGGGTATTGCCTCGGTGAGTATGACGAGCCAACGCCATGTCAAGTGTTCTAGCGAGCCTTTACCAGCAAAAATTCCATAGGCATTTCCAGCAAAAAATATAATAAGCAACGCTGAGGTGTATTTTCGCTTTGAAAGTGGCAAAATTTCTAGTAGGTAAGTATATGCTATCACGTTACTTGAAGATACAAGACCAATAAATCCTCGAATTATGACCATGAGATATAAGTTCGTAGAGAACGAGTAGAGTGCAGAGAAGTAAGAATTCAATATAAGGACCAGAATCAAAATCTTTCTTCTGCCATATATGTCTGCTAATCTGCCAAGCAAGATCGATCCAGGTATGTTTAATAATACTTCAGGAAGGACAATCCATGTTGCAGTTAAGTAACTCAGATGCCAGTGTTTACGGAGGTACGGTTCAAGTATTGCGAGAAAGCTATTCGTAGATCCATAGCAGAAAAGTCTATAGCCCATGACGAATATTGCCATGATATGAAACTTTCCAAAGCCGATCGCTTCGAGCTGCATGTCAAGATCGAAACGGTCCATTTTGGCTTGGTCGTCTTCGACATGACAACGGAACACGTCTATCTGCAGTGTAAATTCCTAACTCACTTTTATCATATGCCTTTTGATATACCTAAATCCATTCAAAACTAATTGTTTTCTGAAACCACAGTGAAAGCATTGGGTTTTCTCTATGAGTTGACGTGACGTGGGATGTTTTTGTGGTCTGACATGGTTTAGAAATCAACTCATAGCAATTGTGGATTTTGGCACAGGTGGCACAGATTTGGCACAGTTTGTATTTATTGTAGTAGTGTTCGAGTAGGCATTACATTGTCTCTTTCATACGCCCAAAGTAACAAGGGTGCAAGTGTGCATTGTTTTTGGGTATATAAACTTTGTTTTGGCATAGTTTCATTCTCACACGTTTCAAGACAACCTGAAGCTGGACTGTGGAGAGCAAAGGCTCTTTCTTTTCTTTGTGACTTTTGCATGAAAAAGATGTTGCTAGTCGGTTGAAGAAGGTCATTGTTTCTTCTTCTCAACCCCCTCAAAAACGGTAAGGGTTTTATTTCTGGCCGTCTTTTCGATTGGCGCACCGACAGCCCAAAAGGGTCCAAATGATGAGACAACGCTACCTTCAGTCTTATGATTGTGATGGTAAAATATTACCCTATTACCCTCATTTGCTAACGGCTTTTATTTGGAAACCTGGAACAATCATTAAACAGGATTATCTTTGTCAAGCTTGAAAAAATATTTTCGATTTTACACTTTGACAAAGAAAATTAGTTTTTGTCAGAAACTGTTGGGGATTTCCAATTTCCTGCCATGCCTAACAATTAATTTTATGTATTTAAGTGGTCATGTTAATCACGTATGAGTTACCGTTTTGGTATTTTGTTTTCGTGGTATTGACTCAAAAACCTCACTTTGGTAATGAGGCGCCAAAAACCTCACTTTGGTAATGAGGCGCCGAAAACCTCACTTTGGTAATGAGGCGCATGAACTGACTCACATACATTTGCCTTGTGGCTGTATCATTGGTCAACCTATATCTTGTTCTAGTATTTAATTGGTTATTTTTTGTTTGTTGCACCGAAAACTCAGTTAGTTGACCTTATTTAGAAAAGCACATGGTATGATCTCTTAACAGAAACCAGTGCGCCCAGAGCCTTGGTAAACGCATCAAGCAGTACTAAGGGTTATGAGCTGCAAACACGGGCGTTTATGCTTATATTTGTTCATGCTTTTCTTTGATTGGGATATATTAGTTTGTCGCGTGTTAGTTTTAATGTTTTGCGGTATAGTAATATTTTACATGCCCTCTTACCCTACAAAGTTCCCCCGCGTATCTTAATATATCTAACACCTCCTACTAGTTCATTTACGTATTGCACGATAGATACCGACAATAACACCGGCAATTATTGATGTTAGTTTGCTATATTGTAATGCTGTTATATAAAGTAGAGTAAGGAGAAACAGGGTTAGTTAGAGGGAAGCGTGGTGCTTGCGAAAGGCCACTGCTATCAAACATGTAGACACTCACTTGCACACACACAAAGAACGGTTATGGATTGAAAGGCTAAGAAAGGGCTGATGGCATTCAACCCGAGTGGCTTGTGAAAGCACTCGAGGTTTCGTTTCATATATATATATATATAATTTAATGGCGTAACAGTGATTGTGAAAGGCACTGTTACGGGTTTCGAAGTTTCGATATTGTGTAAAAGAACGTCTTAGCTTTGGATGGAATAAAAGGAATTGATTTTGTGTGTCAAAACGTGTCGTTTATTCGCTCGGTCAATCGCTCAAACAACGAATGGTGTCAGAAGTTTTACAAATAAATATCAGCAGCAAATTTTACACCCCTTTTGTTAACATCACGTGGATTGGCTCGTGCCCAGTCCTCGCTGTAGGTGTGAAATCAGACACGCGGTCTTTTATTATAGAATTTTGGTAGTTGTAGTGTGAACATCATCGAGATCAGTCATGTAATTTGTTAAATAGATTTGTTTTGTATATATTTGATTAAAGAAATGGAATTTGTTCTCAATGCTTCAGGAATCTGCGTGTGCAACCTAGTTGTACACAACAAATGGCGCCCAACGTGGGGCCTTGAGAGCAATTACAAAGTCTCGTAAAGAAAGATGTTGAGATAAGCAAAATTATGTTTCAAATTTAAACGAAGAAATATTACAGAAATGCCCACCGGAGGAAATAGATTTTGAAATAGACGAGATTACTGACATTACACAAAAAATCGATGAAATCTTAGAAGAGTTTCGGGAAAAGGTCAAGTTTTAGGACGCGGAGCCCAAGCCGCAAGCCCAAGTCAAGTTACAAACTCACTTCCAATTCGAGTTTGAGCAGCAGAAGTAAATAACACAGGATTTACCATCAGTGCCGGTTCATCTAGCAGAGCCTGATAAATGGAATAAAATTGCCTAAAATTAATCTTCCGCGATTTAATGGGGATGTGACAAAGTTTCAGTCGTTTTGGCAAGCTTTCAAGTGTTCCGTGGACAAAAGAAAAAGTTTATCAGCAGTTCACAAGCTAAATTATCTGGTCAATTCATTGGAAGGTCCCGCATTCAAGGCCTATAACACAAAACGAATGTTGCCATGATTTAAAATTTTCCAAAGCGGATCGGTCCATTTTGGCTAGGTCGGCTTGTTTGTCAGAAAATAAAACAGGATCAGATTTTTGGAATTTTGATAAAAATAGTTAACAGAAATTGCTTTATATGTTTCAATTGATCTGAGATTGAAAAATTTGTTTGAGACTTGATCTCAATACTGTACTTTGAAGAATGGTCAAGAATGAACAGTGACGTAAGATTTACATCACAAGAAATGTAAGAATCTTCACGCGAATGTTTTAAAAAATTTACAATTCTCTAGTGCTTTTTTCCTGGAAAGGTAGACTCTGTCCATTAAGATAAAATGTCTATTCTGCCTGAATTGTTTGTTCTTGAATTCGGTGTAAGCAGAGGATCGATGCTAGCACTACAGAGAAGAAGCCTTGTGGTCTGCCTAAGTCTAACAAGGGAGTTACATCTATACAGCTGAGCCTAAGTAAGTTGAATCCCAGGCTGGGAAACTATGTACTGCACACCAAAAGAACCTTGATGTGAAGTTTTGGGGATATAAACAGAAAAACGTTTGATTTTGTTTCCAAAACGATACACGTTACCAGTGACATGAGTTTATATTGTCACAGTCATCGCTGTCACACTCTAGCTTTCTGTGGGGTGGTACTAACTTATTTAGAAGCAAAAACTTTTTAATAAATGGCTAAGTACACCTGCCAGATCTTCAGCTATTACTTATTCCAGCCTCTGTTTAATTGCTGGGGCTGCCCCTACTTTTATCTATATACACGCGAGGAATTTACCAGTTATCAAACATAACTACATGCAATTTTGAGCCACGGGCACAAGAACCATAGTTTAAAAATTGCTTTTGTGAAATTTTTAAAGCTTTTTTGCATCCAATTTTATCCAGCACGTCAAATAACGCCAGAAAAAAGTTTCAGCTTTATAACTTGCAATGTTAAGAAGGTTGTAGTGCTATACCAGAAAGAGGACTGGGTACCAGTACCCCAGTCCAAAAATAGCTTTTGGGGGTTTTTTGAAGCTTGATATGAACTTCATCTTATTCAGCATATCGGATTGTGTACTTGTACCAAACTTCATACTGTTATCATAACATGCACAGTTCTACTGCTATGCGTCTGCACTATCAGGAAACTCGAGAAAGCAAGTTGTTTGACGAAAACGAAAAGTTTCCAAAGCCATAACTTTTTACTTATAGGTCAGATCACATTGCTCTTTTTAAATCTTTTGCTCAGTTTTGCATGTTTTTTCCGATAGCATCATCAGATTTGAAAAATTCGAAAGTTGAAATTTTGCTGACCGTGCATTTTTCATGCTCCCGGAAACACAACTTCCGGTCATTTGCCAGAATGTTCCCAGGGCTTAAAGTGATCAGTGGCCTTTATTCTTATGATTTAAACTTTAAAAACGTCGGTTGCCCAGTTTGCTAGAATGTTATGCAAAATTCCCTGTCTATACTGTAGATTGCATTGATGAATCGATACTGCATTATCCAATGTCAGCAATGCTTCGTAGTCAGCATGACTGTCTTTATAAACAATTCTGAGTGCTCTTTCATGGCTTTTATTCACTTTAGCATTCAGATATCTGTCGTGGAACATCCAAATTAGGGGGCAGTAGCTAAACTGAGCTTTTATGTAGCTGTTCATTAGGAGACGCAGTTTATCAGAACCCATAAATGGCGAAACTCTAGCAAGAGCATGCAGTTTTTGGCTGGCTCTTTTGCATAAATTTGAGACGTGACTTTTGAAATTAAGATTTTTATCTATTATCACCCCTAGCAGTTTTTCTTCAGAGCTTTCTTCAACAATGGCCTCGCCGATTTTGTTCTTAATGTCGTCTTGATGCGACGTAAATCGGTTAAATCTTTCCTTCTTTTTCTTCGATAAAATCGTCCCGGCAGCTACATAGCTTGCATGCTAACAACGGCATAATAATTAACGCGTGACATGGGCATAATCTTTCTCAAGAACTATCCCAGAGGTCTCTTAAAACTGATATATCTCCTATAAATATCTCAAAACGACTATGAGCAAAACGAAGGCGACAAGATCTTTCACAAGCATCTTGCTCCTAAAATGGTGCATGCCTAAACTGCTTTCTCTTGCTGCTACTTTTCCATAATTCTTACTGCCCAAGATGAGGTACGGGGCTCCTATAAATACTGAACTAAAAGCAATAGACATACGTAAATGAAACGGTGAAAGGAAGTAATTTACTTAGTAACGAGCGGGGTAGGGTAGCGCGATATCCTAAAATAATGGGTTGCTATGGCGATCTACTTAACATGCGGATAATTGACGTAAGTATGAATTTACTCATAATAATACAAAGATTATCCTAATACACGTGATAGAAAAATGCGGAACGAGCAAGGAAAGTTACAGATAAACAAGAGTGATTAGGTAAGGAAAATCAAACGAATGGACTAGAGAGAAAGGCCTAAAATTAGCAGTATTACAGTGTACCGTTTATAGACATATTTTGATTTGTATCCAGCATACAAATCGAGGTATTTTCTGAAGTCTTGTGGGAAATGGTTGTTCACGCAGCATAAAGGGAGGTAGGGAGGGTCTGGCTAATTGTTTGGGGGGTTCTGGGGGTAAGGACGCTAGGGAGCCAGAGATGTTTTCAGCTTCCAAGAGAACCCAGTTCCTGATAATGTAGTCAATACCACACCAGAATGCACACCAGTTACCAGAAAAGCAGCTACAACAGCAAATCCACAGCAACCATGAAAATCCCAATGCCAAAATGGCGCAAGAGGGAAGCTGCCGTGGTTAACAGTGTGTTCTGTGGAGAACCTCTACCAAGTCCACCCAATGAAGTTTTGACACCAATAGAATACTTCAAGAGCTTTTTTGATGATCAGCTGATAGCTCACATATCTGAGCAGACAAACCTGTACTCTGTGCAAAAAAATGGATCGTCAGTTGCTACAACAGCTGATGAGATAGAGCAATTTATTGGTATACTTTTGCTTATGGGTATTTACAAAATCCCTCAGTACAGAATGTACTGGTCAAGAGAACTGAACATTTCCAGCATTTCAGAAACAATGCCTGTAAACCGCTTTGACAAAATCAAAAGCTTTTTTCATTGCAATGACAACTCAAAAAATGTGCAGAGAAGTCACCCAGAGTTTGACAAACTCTTCAAAGTAAGGCCAGTAATAGATTCTGTTCAAAATAAATGTAGGAAGGTTCCACAAGAGGAAAAGCACTCTATTGATGAGCAGATCATTCCTACAAAGGGCAGGTCTCCACTAAGGCAGTATATTCCCAATAAAGGTTTGGGCACGCTGTGGAGTCAGTGGCATTGTTTATGATTTTGATGTTTACACTGGTGCTTCTCCAAAGGGGAATCTAGATGATTCATTGCAAAATTCTGGTTTTGTTGGTAATGTGGTGGCTCGCCTATCATCAACGCTGCAAAGAAATGTTGGCTACAAGCTTTATTTCGATAATTACTTCTCTTCCGTCGCACTGATGCAGTATCTTCAAAAGGAAAGGATCTGGGCTGTGGCAACAATACGGGCAGACAGACTGAAAGGTGCAGAGAAAGTCCTAGAAGACAAAAAAGCTTGAGCAAGAAGGGTAGAGGGTCCAGTGACTGGTGTGTTGTTGGATGGACAATGGAGTTGTTCAATTAATTTCAAATTACATTGGCAAAGATGATGGTTCCAAGGCTCAAAGGTGGTCAGCTAGAGAAAAGAAGTTTATAACTATATTTCGACCTCTGATGGTTGAAGAGTATAACTTGCACATGGGGGAGTAGATTTATGTGACATGCTGATGGCTCTCTACCGGATAAGACTTCACTCTAAAAAATACTACATGTATATTATCAGGGCCGTCACTACGGGGGGGGAGGGGTTGTGGGGGTTGTGACACCCCCAGACCCTAACCTTGTCGGCAAATCTTCGAAAATGGAAGTTTTGTCGTCAACTTCTTGGAAACTGGCAAATTTTCAGAAGAAAGACAGAGAATTTTGCCATTTTCAAATAGATATTATCGGTTGTTGATGACAGCACCAGTCACAGTTGAAATTTATGTAAACCTAAGGAGAATAATTGATGATCGCTCAAACTCTCTCGTGCTAAAGGCCAGGCGCAGTCTGGCCCGGGTGGCAAAGTGGCGATCCCCACCGGGCCCTCAGACATGTAAAGTAAAGAAAATTACGGGCCCTTTCTGCAAAAGTTGGAGTGGAGAAGATAATTTTCATAAACTGGAAACTACATACAGTCACAGCCAAGGCCCCTAACATACGTGCTGGCTTCACAACTAAGCATCAAAATGAAGTCTGCGCGCAGGCCAAAGGGCCCTACTATGACCAACATCCACTTTACAGAAATTCTATTTCATTTTCGCACAAAGACAAATCTGTCCTACTTCCTAGAGAAATAATTTAAAACTGTATGTAGAGATCAAGGAGCTGTTGTTTTTAGTTAGTTGTCTAGAGTCGCCATTGTTACATTTCTAGCTAATAATGACCTTCCACACATGATCGAACGTTGCCTAGGGTCATATCACTTTATGGGAAGAAAGTTGTGCAGGAAGAAAGCTTCTCAAATTGGGAAATTTTTGGAATCAACTTTGCGAAAGAAGCGAAATAGGAGCTTTGCAAAAACAAACTTTCGCGTTTTAGAGAAAATGGACTTTGCGTGAAAACATTTCTATTCAATTGAGGTTTCCTTCTATTTTTATTCCACAGGATACCAGCAAAACACCGAAAAAGATGTAACATTTGTCCAACTAAAAAATTCTTCGTCAAAGTTTTAGAGAGGATCAACAGAAAAATTTTCTAGATATATCACAAAATTAAATTTTCGCAAATTTAATATTTCAGGAAGTTTTGTGTATCAATCACCCGCCATTTTAGGCCATAAACGCTAAAAAACGCAAAGGTTCCTTCCCTCGCAAGTTTCTTCCAGTGAAAATTTCTTTCTGCGAAAATTTCTTTCCGCGAAAGTTTCTTCCTTGAAAGTAGTAAGCAACAGTTAAAGGCCTTCCTCTGCTGCCCTTCAAGTTTTTCTTTTCTCTGAAACCCTCTGCAAGGTGCATTCTTAAAAGTTATAATGAAGTTTTTCTGTTTGCTAATTGTTTAATGAACAACGTGTTTAAAATAATAAAGTTCGGTATAGACTAAGGAATCTGTATCGTTTTAAGCTCTCTCAATGATGTTTAAGTGTGAATAAGTTTGTAGGTCACGAGATTTCAAATTGTAGCCAAGATACTAACCTAGACAAATGAAAAGATGACACATAAAAGAAAAGAACATGCAGGTTGAATTTTTGATTATTTTCTCGGCTCGAATATATATATTAGGTTCGCAGAGTTTAACTCCATACATAGAGTCCTTGATTTAAATAGAGAACCACAACCGTCAATAATTGATTTGAACTGAGCATATTTTAGCCTTTTCTCGCATTAGTTGGTGTGGCTCAAAAAAGTTTATCTACCATACCCTTAACCGGGACCTTTTGGTTTGCTGGCTACCCTGCAATTATGACACTGAGCAAAACTGAAATATAGCAGTTCGCGAAAAAATATTCGCGAGTTTTATCAATGATAATTATAATCATTCGAGAACCACGCCCGTATCTGTTGCCACGCCCATTTTGTCGGCAAATTACCGGTTTTGCACCCCCACCTATGAAAATTTTCTAGCAACGGCCCTGCATATCATTTATTGTATTGGCGTGTCAGTCATCAATGGATGGATTCTCTTTAGAAGGCACTGCATGCAGCTAGGAATTCCAAGTAAAGATGAATTGTCATTGATTCAATTTCAGTCCATGGTTGCAAATGCCTTGACACTTGCTGGGAAGAGCACACAGCCAAGAAGAGGACGGCCATCGATTACCCCCCCCCCCCCCCTCCAAAGAAGAAAACAAAATGTCATGCTGTAGCAAAACCCATCAATGATGTTCGCTTTGATAATGTTGGGCATATCCCAGATTTTGAGGAGAAGCAACAGAGATCTCGTTACTGTCCTAAGGGGTACACGCGGAACACGCGGAAAAGTAAAATTTTGCTTTAAGCTTCTGGAATGAAAATACACCCTCGTTCAAAATCGAAAACGCGGAAACGCGAAATTCTTATTTAATCAAAAATAAGGTCTTATATTTCAATTCTTGAAAGAGCTCTGTTGCTTTGTTTGTGTATTTTTATTCCAGAAGCTTAAAGCAAAATTTCACTTTTCCGCGTGTTCCGCGTGTTCCGCGTGTTCGGCGTTTTCCGCGTTTTCGACCTGGCCGGGGTACTCTGCAGTCAAATGTGTGAAATGTAAAGTTCATCTCTGCTTTGTACGAGGGAGAAACTGCTTCAAGAATTTCCATTCAAAGTGAAGATTAAGTTTTAAATTAAGTCAAAGTGAAGTTTTAAAGTTCATGTTGAGTTGTTATAAAATATATGAACAGTACATACCTCCTGTTATCACTTGTACCAACGGAATCAGTATGTATGTAGAACAGTACAGGGGGAGAAAGTTCTAATTATCAAAAGGGCAATCCCCTTTCCAAAAGCCCTATCTGAACTGAAAATTCAAATAATTGGCTATCTGTCTTAATAAAGCGTGTGGAAGTATACAGAAAACCACATTTTTAGATATTTTGATTTTTCATTATCAGCAAGAATTTTATACCATTGCTGCATAATGTTGTTGTGGGACAACAATCTGACATGACATCATCTTCTAATAATAATAATGTCAAAATTGGTCTGAAAATAGTTCTCCACATCAAAATAAAACATTCTAGTGCAAAAACATTTTTTTTTTGGTTTTACAAAAAATTAATGTAGGAAAGGGTTAGGCATTGAGTCATGGTAAACACTGGTTCTCCGCGGGGGTCTGTCTGTCTGCATATGATCAGTTTGTTTTCATGTAATCAGACATTCTTTGTCGAAAACGAAAGGCAATTAAAAAGTTTTTGGTAAGAAGTTTTGAAATCTTTTGTAGAGAGCAAGAGAAAAGAGAGAGAAAGAAAGAACCTTTAGAAACGGCGGAACAAAGAGCATTTACAACATCGTGTGTGCAGTTTGCTTGACAGCCAATCAGATTAGCGAAGCTAGCATAATGACTTAGCAATTTTTGCAATTTGGCTAAACGCTTCCTATTTACCATGACCTCATTGCCTTCAATCTTGCGAATGCTGGGATGATGTGTATATTTCTCAACAGCAATTTCAACAGGGTCCAGCAAATGGTCTGTCGAATTGAGTATGCATTCACCAAGGGCAATGTCAATTGTCTTTGTAATATTTGTAAAAAATTCATTAAGGATCTCGGCTATTTCACTGTCAAACTTTTTCATTTTTGATAAGTGTGATACTTGAAGAGTTTTGTACCTTGTCAGTAAAAGTGGCTTTACAGTTCTTTAGAACTTTTTATTGTCAGTGACAGAATTTAGATCAAGGTTACCATAATATGATGTTTTTGCTTGTCGCAGAATTTTCACACACCTGTTTCTTTGCTTTTTTAAAGCGTTCCAGTTTTCAGCAGTATTTTGTCTGTTTAATCTGTTGCTTTTCTTAAAATTTTCGTCATGAAAGGTGCATCATTTGCGCGTAAATATTTCTGTTTTAGAGGTACATGGTTATTCAGAACTTCTTCGACTACAGAATTAAAGTTTTCATATTCCGAGTATGCTTCGCTGCTCTTAGCTAGATTGCTTCTAAGGTCAATGCGAAACTTTAAAGGATCAAATTTACTGTAGTCTCACGGCCGGCGAAAGCCATGGCCCCCCCCCCAACTTTTTTGCATAGCTAAAGGAAAATTTTAGGCAAAAATGGAAATAAATGTAGAATAGCATTCTGTAAGTAACTGTGTTTAGTAATCCCTTACATATGCCTTTAGATTTAGCTTGGTTGCTATGATTTTACCATAGAAGACATATATAAATTTGAATATGGGAAATAAGATCAAAGAAATCGGTCACTGTCTAAGTTGTACAACGAGAAACAGCTTGGCTTAGGAAATAGATCGAGAAACCTGATTCAGAATAACTTGGTGCCAGCACAAATTGACGGAGTTTCGTTTTTTCTATTGCCTAAACGTGGCTCACAAGGTCTATTTGTTAACAACAAATTTCTCAGGAACATTGCAACATAAGAGAAATTGCTAGCGATGCGGAAGGGAAAGAAACTGACGAGAAGAAAATGTTTAAGGACATGAGAAAAAAATGGGCAGATTTGTTCTAAAAATGTAAAATCAAGAAAACTTCAACATTTGATTGTATCGATAATCCATTCCTACTAAAAAAGAAAATCTAGACGCAATTGTAAATTCTATTAAAACTATTTTTGATTTTTGTTAAAAGCACCTTTTTCCGAAATATTTAAGACCAGATGTTACATAACAATATCCCAAGTGTACAAATTGCTTAATTTGCTTTTATTTTAGTTGATAGTTCTCCTGTTTTTGTTGAATTTGTACATATTGATTAAGCACAGCTTAAAGATATTGCCTCGGGTTTTCCTTCAGTAAAAGTCAATTTTAGATACTGTCTCTGGCCATCCCTAAAATACAATAATCTTAAAATTTTCTTGCCACAAACCATGGTGGCGGCCTAGCCTAAGCCCTTTCAAGACCTTCATATTTGGCCCCCCCCCCCCCACTTTCAAATATGTTTCACCGGCCCTGAATCTTGGTATGTCACAATCCTTGGACCTCTTTTCACAAAATCACTCTTTAACACTGTTTAAGTATCATCAGATGAAAATCAGACAATCCCACTTCTACTGTTGTAGTATTTGAAAACCAGAGGTTTTATTAATATACTAGATTGAGTGCGGTACAATATGATGCTATAATAACGTTTATCAATGAAGTAAATTGTACCAGGAAAATTTTTTAAAATAAATAACGACGTTTCGAGCATAGCCCGTTATCACTTGATTACAGAGGTTTTATTCGTTAGAAACATATCAATCGAAGAGGAATTGTCAGCAAATTGATAACAAGTGGGACTTTTTAATAAAATTTTTAATCCATAGATATCCATGAAATTGCTAATCTCATAATTTTTCTCTTCCGAATTTAAATCTCCAACAATGACGAAGTTTTCGTATCGAGGAGTGAGTTGGTCAAGCACAATCAGGCCTCTTTTTTTCTTGTTCCAAATAGTTAATAGTTTGGCAAGGTGGTTAATATCTCATGGGGATTCCAAATTAGGACAAATGTACTTAGCTGCAGTGGCGGAAATTATGGGAGTTTGGGGGGGCTCTGGCCCCCCAAATCAGCGACGTCGTTGGAAAATTCGGGCTCTCGTCGTATAATTGACAACCGTTTAACGTGTCGAAATTACTCCAAGAAATCGTTCTGAAAAGGAATTTTGAGCTAATCTAATTGCCAAATGCCAAATGCGAATGTAATTGCCAAATTTTCAGCTCGCTTCGCTTGCAGGTGATCCACGTTTCCCTTTTTTTACCCCAGAGGCCTTTATAACCTCTCTGTGCCCTTTTGCAAAATTTGAACATAGCATAGCTGATAAAATATTAGCTATTACCAAATAATCAATCAAACAATATATGACCAATATTAAAACTGCTTGTGAATTGTGTATCTAATTTCAATTCCGTAAAGATCAGCCAAAATTTCTATCGGATTCTTCTGAACAGAAGTTATTTTCAAACGTATTTTTCACTGACGAAAACAAGATAAAATGCATAAAATGAACGTACGACTTGTCAAAAGTGTTATCGGTCTACCTCTTGTATCATCAATTGTCTTAGATGAGATATCAATCTTGATATCAAAAATCATAAATGGATTGTTTTTCTTGCTACTTAATTATGGCGTGTTCAGCAAAGATTTCTAAAAAGTCCCGTCAAAAAATCAACTATTTTTATCAAAATGTACAGTTTCTTTGAAAATTATACATGGTCCGTGATGTTACCTTCTCGGAAAATCGTAGGCCTGGGCCCCCCCAAATGAAAGCCTGAATTTCCGCCACTGCTTAGCTGTGTAATTATATTGAGTCCCATCATCTGTCATTGAAAGGGACATTTTTATCCTTCAAAAGTCCATTTAGAAAATCAAAATCCCCGTGAGATATTAACCCCCTTGCCAAACTATTAACTATTAGGAACAAGAACAAAAGAGGCCTAATCGTGGCACACCTAAATATTAACTCAATCCGAAACAAAATAAAGGATTTCAAATCTCTAATTGCAAAAATGTTGACATCCTCGCAGTTTCTGAAACCAAATTAGACGAATCCTTTCCCATATGCCAGTTTTTAATTGATGGTTTCAAAAAACCCTTCTGGTATGATAGAAATGCAAACGGTGGTGGGATTCTGGTAAATATAAAAGATAAATTTCAAGAGCATAAAATTAAACAGGTGAACATCGCCAATTCAATTGAATGTGTATTAACTGAAATTAATGTGGGCAAGAAAAGATGGGAATTGATCAGTACCTACCGCCCCCCCTTCTCCCCCCCTTTTTATAGATAAATGACTGTTAAACCAACACTGTACTTCACTGTTATTGTATAACTAAGCATTGGATAATTAATAGCCCTTGGATTGGATGTTCTGGGGCCCTCTTCTCGGAAGAGAACATTGATGTAACAATAGAAGCCCGATCCAGTCTCTTTTTATAGATAAATGACTGTTAAACCAACACTGTACTTCACTGTTATTGTATAACAAAGCATTGGATAATTAATAGCCCTTGGATTGGCTGTTCTGGGGCCCTCTTCTCGGAAGAGAACATTGATGTAACAATAGAAGCCCGATCCAGTCCTTTTTATAGATAAATGACTGTCAAACCAACACTGTACTTCACTGTTATTGTATAACAAAGCATTGGATAAATAATAGCTCTCGGATTGGCTGTTCTGGGGCCCTCTACTCGGATGACAACATTGATGTAACAATAGAAGCTCGATCCAGTCTTTTTTATAAATAAATGACTGTTTAACCAACACTGTACTTCACTGTTATTGTATAACAAAGCATTGGATAATTAATAGCCCTTGGATTGGATGTTTTGGGGCCCTCTTCTCGGAAGAGAACATTGATGTAACAATAGAAGCCCGATCCAGACTTTTTTATAGATAAATGACTGTTAAACCAACACTGTACTTCACTGTTATTGTATAACAAAGAATTGGATAATTGATAGCCCTCGGATTGGCTGTTCTGGGGCCCTCTTCTCGGAAGAGAACATTGATGTAACAATAGAAGCCCGATCCAGTCTTTTTTATAGATAAATGACTGTTAAACCAACACTGTACTTCACTGTTATTGTATAACAAAGCATTGGATAATTAATAGCCCTTGGATTGGATGTTTTGGGGCCCTCTTCTCGGAAGAGAACATTGATGTAACAATAGAAGCCCGATCCAGTCCTTTTTATAGATAAATGACTGTTAAACCAACACTGTACTTCACTGTTATTGTATAACAAAGCATTGGATAATTAATAGCCCTTGGATTGGATGTTTTGGGGCCCTCTTCTCGGAAGAGAACATTGATGTAACAATAGAAGCCCGATCCAGTCTTTTTTATAGATAAATGACTGTTAAACCAACACTGTACTTCACTGTTATTGTATAACAAAGCATTGGATAATTAATAGCCCTTGGATTGGATGTTTTGGGGCCCTCTTCTCGGATGACAACATTGATGTACCAATAGAAGCTCGATCCAGTCTCTTTTTATAGATAAATGACTGTTAAACCAACACTGTACTTCACTGTTATTGTATAACAAAGCATTGGATAATTAATAGCCCTTGGATTGGATGTTCTGGGGCCCTCTTCTCCGAAGAGAACATTGATCTAACAATAGAAGCCCGATCCAGTCTCTTTTTATAGATAAATGACTGTTAAACCAACACTGTACTTCACTGTTATTGTATAGCAAAGCATTGGATAATTAATAGCCCTCGGATTGGCTGTTCTGGGGCCCTCTTCTCGGAAGAGAACATTGATGTAACTATATAAGCCCGATCCAATCTCTTTTTATAGATAAATGACTGTTAAACCAAAACTGTACTTCACTGTTATTGTATAGCAAAGCATTGGATAATTAATAGCCCTCGGATTGGCTGTTCTGGGGCCCTCTTCTCGGAAGAGAACATTGATGTAACTATATAAGCCCGATCCAATCTCTTTTTATAGATAAATGACTGTTAAACCAAAACTGTACTTCACTGTTATTGTATAGCAAAGCATTGGATAATTAATAGCCCTCGG